ATTTAGGTAAATTACTATTTAAGTATAGCCTTATTTGTTTTACTAGGGGTACTTTAAGGGTAGACCTCCTTAAGGTGATCTAGGAGGGTAAAGTTACTATTATAGGCTTTTTATAGCTTATCTTTTAGTGTAGCTATCTCTGTGGCTAGGTCCTGATTTTGATAAATGATCTTGGTAGCTTTATTATAGAGGGTCTTGTAATTATAGGCTATAACGCTAGCGATAGAGCTAAGCTGGAGCTCTAGGTGTTAATAAGTAAGTTATATCTTTAGTTATTACTTAACCTAGGCAAAGGTATTATTAGGGTTAGTACTATAGTATTTATTAAAGAGCTTTTAAGTAAGCTGTTGCTTTTTTTTGTTATTAAAGAAGGCTATGTTATAAAGTATTAAAAGGGAAAAGGTATAGTTAATAATGGATTAAAGGTATTAGGCTTAGGCCTAGTGGTCTATAGTAACTATTAATATGTCTAGAGGCTGTTTTTCTAGTAGGTGGTCTATGTTAAAAGGCTAGATTTTAGGCTTGTTTTGATTATTATGGTTAATTAGTAGTAGGGTACTGTAGTAGTTGTTTATAAGGGTTTTTGCTAGGGTATAGGTTTTAGAGTCAAGGACAGCTAGGCTGTTTATGCTAACTGATTATACTATCTTATTAGCTTATAAAAGGGGGTATTAATTGCTAAATAGAAGAGGTAGTGTGAGGCGTTGGTTAACGTGTAGTAGTTAGTATATAGCAGGGGTAGTAAGCTATTAGATGAATTGTAGTAGTAGGGAATTAATTAAGGTTAAGATATTGATCTTTTGTCTTTAGAGAAGGGTTAGTAGACCTTTAAGTAGTGTTATAATAGCGAATTCTAGGTTAGTTAATATATAACTATATTACCTATTTATAAAAACTTAAAGGTAAAGGAGAGAGAAATCTATAGCTGTGCTAGGCTGATTGCCTAAGCCTTTAAGGGCACTAGCTAATCCCCTTATTACATAACTAAAACCTCTCTTCTAGCCACTATAGCCACGCGCACAGGCCGTATCTATCCCTAGGGGTCGCAACAGGTAGTAGCTATAGTGCTAAATAGCTACGCTGTAACACTTTTATATAAGTATTATAGGTATAGTCTTCTTTTATTATATTGTTAGTTATATTTATATTATCTTTAAGTTATATTAAGACTTTTTTATTTATATATCTTAGTCTATTATACTACTTTTTATAGTTATTAATCTCTTTATTATATATAACCTTTTTATATTTGTAAAGTTTTCTTTTTATATTTATAGTATTTATATATTCTTTATATTCATTAAAATCCTTTTTATTTAAAACCTTTATATTTAGGTAATATAGACTATCTTTTATTTCTCCCTTATAAAAGGTTCTTTTATTATTTATATTTATTAAAGATACCTTTATATTCTAGAAAAGAGAAGTTATTTTAAGTCTTTTTAGTCTATTTTAACTTAGAAGATTAATACTTATTTTAGGCATATAATAACAGTCTTTAAGGATATATATATTATTATTATTAAAAAAAGAAATTACTATATCTTTTTATAGAGAGATTTTTTTCTTTTTATGTCTCTTTAGTTAATATACTTATTTATATAAGTAGTCTTTATAAATAGGGATTTATTACTTATAATATTAATAGCAGCAGTAATATCTAGGTAAAACGTAATATATTTATTATTTTTAGTTATATATATAAGTTTATTTATATTACTTATTTTATTATTAGTTATAGTTATTATAAAGAAGGTTATATAACTTATATCTTTAAAATCTAAGTTTATTTTACTCTTTTCCTTTTATTAAGGGTTATTTATAACTATATTATTTATAACTACAATATACGCATTTTCTACGTCTAATTTATCTGATTCTTTTAAATCTTTTTTCTCTATTATAGCTTTTTTAGCTATTAAGGCCTTTTAGGCCTTATAAAGCTTATTTCTTTTTATATTAGTCCTTTATTATCTTAAGACTTTTTCTTTAGTATTATCCTTATTTTTTTAGCTTTTAAAGGCCTTAATAGGATATAAAAAGTTATAGTCTTTAACTATATTGTTTTTTAACTTATAGTATATATAATAAATACTCTTTATCTTTTTCTAAGGCTTTTTAATTCCTTTTCTAAAAGTAAAAGTAGTATATAATACTATAAAAAAACCTTTTCTTTTTACTTTATTTATAAGATTTATAAAAAAAGATTTTATAATATAAGAATTTATATTTTTTTTAAGGGCTTAAGTTATATTAGTTATAAAACCTTTATAACTATTATCTAAACTATTTAATACCTAAGCTATAATAACTTATTTTAGTAAAGCTATATCTTCAAAAAATAAGTTATCTATAAGCTCTTTTACCTTATTAAAGTATTCTTTTATAGATCTAAAGGATTCTAAGAAGGTATTAAAGAACTTTTTATAAGTAAGATATTCGTTAATAAAACTAGTAGGTTTATATAGATCTTTTAGTTTTTTCTAGGCTTTATATCTTATTATAAAGTCTTTTATAACCCTTAAAAAGAAATCTTTATAAAATAGCTTTATAAAAGCTAATACTTTTATATTATTCTTTTATTAAAAAGGTATAGTTAAAGGGGTTATAAGACTAAAGTTAATATCTTTACTAATAAGTAAAGCCTTAAATCTAGTTACTTAAACATTATAGTTAAGGCTACTAAAAAAACGTAATATATAGATTTTTTCTATAGTATTAATTTAGTTTAAATTTAATTAGAATATAAGGATTTTAGTTGATTTTAGTTAATTAAAAAGAGATATTAGTATTCTAATAGTACTATTAAATTTATCTTAAAAAATAGGCCTTAAAAGTAGTTAAGTTATTATAGTATTATTATTAATAGTATAGTGTTATATAGTTACTTTAAGTTAAAGATATATATAGGCCTTTAATTAAAGAAGCTTTTACTAGACAATAAAGTAATTAGTTTAGTAGTTTAGTTATTCTTTAGATTAACTAATTAAATTAGTAACTTAATTAGAGCTCTTAGGTTTAATTTTAGCTTAAGGTATATAGTCTTTATTAAATATAAACTAGAAATAACCTTTAACTAGTAAGGTAAAATTAAATTATGATTTACCTAGAGCTATAGTGGTATAAAATATAGCGATAGGTGTAGTGCTTGCCTAGTAAGCTGGTCCTTTTATTCTGCTGAATATGGACTGCTAGGTGTTAGGTGTAGCTGCCTTAAAGCTGTATTCCTTAAAATTCCTTTAGCTAATGTGGTATGTCCCCTAGTAAAGTTAAATTTTTTATTATATAAAATAAAGGTATAAGTATAAAGTAAAAGTATAAGAGTTATCTTTTTTACTAAGCTAAGCTTATAACTAGTAAAAATATTAGGGGGTTATTTATAATAGTTATAAAGAAAAATAAAAAAGAATAAAGGTAAATAAAAAAGGTATATATATATTAACTGTTAAGGTTTCATTATTCTTCATTATTATTAAAAACTATCTAAGTAAAAGGAATATCTCTTAGTTATATAGAAAGTCCTTTAAATATATATAATATCTAAGCGTATATCTAAGCGTATATCTAAGCACTAAGAGGTACTTATATATTTCTTGTATATATATATATATACCTATATATACCTATAGATAGGCATAAGCGCTAGCATATGTAATACTTAGAAGTATATGCGTTTATATACAATAGACTATATTAGTTTATAGTAGTTTATATTAGTATAGTTATATATAGTAATAGTTATATACTTTTATAAGTTATTTTTTAAGAAGAATCTAGAAAAAATAACTATATATTTATAGGACTTTTAGTTATAGAGTTATAAAGAGATTCATATATAAGAATTATAAGAATTTTACTTCTTAATTCTTAGTTTTTGTATAAGGCTAGCTTGATTAGGCTGATATTACCTAGCCTAGGTATTCTTGGATAGATCCTATGACCTCAGCTGTCTCTTAAGGGTACAAAGACTAAGCTGAAGTCCAGTTTCCTGTTGAAGGATGTGGAGGATGGTTGCGTAACTGGTATTATCGCGATGGGCAGCTTCAATCAATTGGCGATGGGGCGCAAAGTCAACAAGTGGTCCTCGGGGCATCTTTAGGTAGTTATTAACGTCTGACGAGAATTTGAAGTCGATTCAAGAAGTAAAAGGTTACGTTGCTGAAGCCTGGGTTAGGGGATAAATGACGATCACATGGAAATCGACGATTTGTTGGGGGGCTGGGCAGTCGGCGTAACATTCAGCCGCCTATAGTCGGGTTGGCACTAATGTACCACCGTAACTTGGGGTATCAAAGACTGAGATGCGGGGAAATCGCGGGGATGGACGGTTCTTATTTGCTCTCTCTCTGATGAAGCTTAGCTCGAATCTACCCCGCAATCCATATCCACGATGCATTGGCGGAATAGCTTATTCGTCTCGCGTGAAAAAGCAACGAAGGGCCTTTTGTCGACTACAGGAACACCTTCCGTTCAGGTAAGGATGCTGTGTTCCGCGCGGATATAAGCCAACAGCAACCCTGCGTCTGTCACTGAGTAGCCCAATACTTTCCAGTCCATCACAGTATTCTCCGGCTCAGCTGGATGGCGAGACCCTCAAAGAATATTGACGAGACTCAGGAAAGGTAAGGAAAGGAAAAAAAATTGAAGAAAAGACACGTGTTGCTTGTCTCAAAGCAAAGGGAGCTCTAGTTTTGTGGAAGCCTGCCAACGCCTCGAGTGCAGGGAACTAATGCACTTCAAGGACTAAGAGCACATTGTCAAAGTCCAAAATATCCAAGCAATGTCGGACGGAACTTGTCCAAACAGAGTCAAGAAATAGATGATGTAAAGAGCCCTTTCCCCAAAGAAGCCAGCCCTGATATGGATTTTGGTTATGTAAGCTGCAACCAACACCCTTGCATGTCGCGATTGAATCCCTCCACCGAAACTTCGCGTCAATACCCTGAGTCATTCATCACCACCCACACAACCTCACAAAACAAGCAGCGAAGCAAAACGCCATGGATCCATCTCAACTGCCCCTGGATGAACAGCTCAACCATCTCCGCAAAAGTCTCTCTACAAATGCAACCTTCATCAAAGTCCTCTCCCTCGCGCGAACCCTCAACCTCCCTAATTGGTACCTCGCTGGCGGGGCCGTTTCCCAAACGATATGGAACTCCGTGGCTAACTTTGCCCCCGACACCGGCATCTCCGATTACGACCTTGTCTACTTTGACGACTCGGACCTTTCCTACGAGGCCGAGGACGCAGTGATCCGCCGCGGCCGTGAGGTCTTCGCGGATATCCCCGTTGAGGTCGAGATCCGGAACCAGGCACGGGTGCATCTTTGGTACGAGGCCAAGTTCGGCGCACCGTGTCCTCGGCATGAGTCTGTCGAGGCGGGGATCGACTCGTGGATCTCGACGAGCGCGATGATTGGGGTGAGGCTTGAGGAGGACGGCCAGTGGAAGGTGTATGCGCCAATTGGGCTGTCAGACTATTACAAGATGGTGGTGAGACCGAACCCGATGATTGGCGTGAGGGAGGCGTATGAGAAAAAGGCAAGACGGTGGTTGGGGATCTGGGAGGGGCTAACGGTTTTGCCGTGGCCTGAGAACCAGGTCCCGTTGAGATTTGACAAGGATGAAGAATGAGCAAGTGTTTGATCATTGATGCCATATTCAAGTCTGGCGCATTTTTGTAGAGATATATATATATATACCCCACTCCAAGATCTAGAACCCACTCCTATCAACAATCATATCCCCTAGCATCTTAAAAATCCCTTCCTTTCCCTTCTTCGCATACCTTTCCAAATCATCGCCGTACTTCTCCTCAAACTTTCCGTCAAACACTTCCACCGACAACCAGCCCCGGAATCCGGTACTCATGACCGCCTCCAGGAACTGCAGTATGGGCAGATACCCCCATCATACGGCAGCGGCCGGTGGTCGTGGCTCCACTGCCCTCTCGGCTGCAGCCCGCTCTCGTCAGTCTTGTTCTCCAGCGGCGGCTCGACCTTGTACGCGTCGCTGATCTGCAGGAAGTAAATCTTCTCCGGCGGGATCGTCTTCGCCAGCTCCTGCAGTGAGATCTCGTAGCTCATCTTGAGCTCCTTCTCGCCCAACCCGCCCGTCTCGATCCGTCCGGACGCCGTCGTCGGGTCGCCCCATTCCCCGCCGGCGGATTGGAAGGTATCCAGACACAGGCCCAGGTTCGGCCGGTTCGCAAGTTGGACAATCTTCCAAACGTCCTTCCACGTGGGCGCATGCGTAGCCCAGCACCAGTTCTCGTACGCTATGCGGAAGCCCCTGGTGGCGAGGAGGTCCGCCAGCTCAGCGAGGTCCGCGACGAGCTCGCCGATGGACGACGTGATGCCGGGGGCGTCCGAGGACCCGACCTGCAGCATGTCCGTGCCGACGGCGCCCATGATCTCCATCCACCCCTTGGCGCGTTCGAACGCGTCCTCGCGCTCCTTGCTGCCCTTCGGCCACCCTTCAAAATTCGCAAAGGGCTGCAGGACCATGATCTGGAGCTCCTTCTGTTCGCACAGCTCGCGGACTGCTTTTCCGGCCTCGCAAAGGGAGGCATAGTCGTCGTCGGCAATGTCGCCCTTATTGAGGTGCCTGTTCGCGAAGGACTGGAGATCCGGGAAGGAGAGCTCAATGCCATTGAAGCCGGCGGCGGAGATGGCGTCGAGCTTTTGCTCGAGAGTGTGGCGGGGGAGACCGATGGAGCAAGAGGCGAAAGAGACGGGGTTGTTGAAGGGGGACGTGGATAGATTTGACATTTTGGTAATTGTTTCACCCTCGATTTTACGGAGGTGAAGATCTTTCAGTATTGTTATGAAGCAAAGCTGAGTTTACCGCTGCTGATGTTGAGATGTCAATCAGTCATGGATGCATTTCGTCGTTCGATGATGTCAGCGCTGTGATGTCAAATGCATGTCACTCTGCGCCATCGGCCAATCCCCACATAGCAATCGGCCAGATCTGGAATACGGATGAAATGAAGCTAGATATCTATTAGCAAGAAGCTTGTAGCCGCCGCATATTTAACCCTATCAATTCTAGAGCGACTGCGGAAGAAAAGTTTGGTAAAGAGAAAAAAGCGCTCAATCGAGCTTCGGTTGGCCATTCTTGAGAATCTCGGCTCTCTTGACGGACTGGATCAGGCCAATGCCCACGGCTGCACTCGCGCCGTCATCAATCTGTGTCGTCCAGAATGAGTCCTGGCCCATCGCCCTGATGGACTTGCGCCTTTCCCGCTCGGCGACGGAGAGATGCAGTCCTTGCTGCTTGTTCGCCTCGAGCTCCTCCAGGTGCTTCACGCGCGTGGCGTACCGCTGTTGCCGCTGCTTGCGGATCTGCTCCGACCCGATGCGCTGCAGCACGAATCGCACGACGGCCCGCAACGCGAGGAAAATGTGCTCGCTAATGAAGATTGTGATGGGAAGCGCCCACCACGCCCCGTGACCGATACTGTTGTTGCCGAAGAGGTGCACGATGGCGCCGGTGGAGAGACTGCCGACCCAGGTGAGGAAGTCGAGTGAGTTAATCCACGGGCCGATGCCGTCCGTACGCACCGGCGCGGGGCGTTGGTGCTCCAGGCTGATCTTGAGGAAATCCGTGCGCAGCTCGACGATGTTGTTTACCAGGAAACCGATGGGGATCAGCGGCCAAACGGGCGAGAAGAGAGCGAGGTATCCGAACTGCAGGACGAGCTCGGCTATGTCGTCTTGCACATTGTACTTCTCGAGCGTCGACTGATTGCGTGCGCTGCGGAGGAACCAAGCCTCCTCGGGGTCGTCCTTGACAATGGACATGAGCATGGTGTCCTTGGAGTGGGATCGCCTGTATTCGCGGTAGATGTTCTGCGCCTTATGCTTGAGAACGGGCATGATGTTCTCGTCGAAGAAGCCAGAGATCTGGCCGGTGACGACAAGGGCGATGACCTCATCGCGGAGGCGGTCAGAGTTGACATGGAAGGTGAGGTCGTCATCCATGTACTTTTGCCCGACGGCACCGAGAAAGCCCTTGGTCATGCCCTCGAGCCAAGGGACGAAGGTGTCGCCAAAGGGCACGTAAATGAAGGCGGTGATGAGAATCGGGAGGTAATTGGTGATGATGTTGAGGACGAAGATCTTTTGCGTCAGGGACATTTCGTGGTTGTCGTTGGTTCGGTGGTTTTCGTAGTTTGTGAGCACCGTGGCGATTTCCTCGAGGCCGCTGCTGATGTAGGGCAGTGCGACGGCGAGCAAGCAGGTTGGAACGTATTCCTGCAAATGGGATTAGTTGATGCCTCCGTCTCGGGTGTCATTGTGTTCCGACTCACGATAAGATTCTTGTAGGGCCCATCGTAGCCTTCCGAGATGAGCACCTCGATGGCGAAGACGACTACGATGATGGCACCAAGCACCACGGCGGAAACCAATACAAAGGGAATCTGTAGTAGTTGACGGGTGACCTGCTTCCATTTGGGGAAGTAGTGCTTCTCCCGGCCGGTCTCGTCCTTGATGATCTTGTCATACTTGAACTGCGGCCGGTTGACCTTGACCTTGCCGATGCCTTGCACATTCCAGCGGATGCTAAGGTCAACCTCCTGGATCTTCCAATACTCTAGGAAGACGGTACACCAGACGCAGGTGGAGATTGCGTAGAAGAGGGAATACTTGGAGAGGTACATCCAGGCGATGACACCAGTGATGGCGGGGAAAGTGAGAAAGAGGAGGTAAGTTTGGATGAATGCGAAGTAGAAGGCGACCTGTGTGCGGTATGAGACGGGATGTCGGGAAGGGGGCAGAGTAGAGGCACTGACCTTAGTTCCCCAGAGGTCGCGGATCGAATCAATGTCATCCAAGGTCAGGAACAGACGCTTGCTGAGATACCTCATCAGAGACTCGTTCGTCTCCTCGTTGTGGAGAGGAAAGATGGCCTTGACGTTCTTCCATTGTCCCGACTCGGGGGTGATTCCAGCACCGCCCAGGGACTTGGGCCAGTTGACGAGGTGATAGACGGAGAGGATGTCTTCAGCCTCGAAGGAGCCATCGACGACGGTGGTCTTGGTTCCGCCGGGATGTTCGGGGATAATGCCATAGAGCCAGTCTTTGACTCTGATGGAAGTCAGTTGGGATGGTCCAGATAAGGGAGACGTCAGAGAAGAGCCAACCTTGACTTGTAAACAGTGTTTCCGAGAAGTTCTCGTGGAGCCTTGGCGAAGATGAGCAGGGACTGGTCATAGCCAGCCCTCACCTCAGTCTGGAGACCGGCAGACTCAAGGTCGCTCAGAAGGGCGGTGAGTTCCCCGACGGCAGTCTCGGAGTCTGGGGCGATCAGCTACTGTGCAAGCAGCCGGAATGGGGCAACAACAACATACCGACTTCACTGAAATCATAGACGACGACATATTTGTCGTTGTAGGACTGCGACTTGCGAGGAAGGTTTGCCAAGGGGTCGGTCACCCCTAGTTTCTCCATTATGCCCATCCTCCCTCCACGCAACTCGCGACTAGGCGAGCAGGAGAAGGCCTGATTATGTAGGTACAGTAAGGTATGCGGGAATGGAAGCTCGGCACGGCCGACAGTATGGCGTCTCCACGAATGGGGCGGGACGAATAATTATGGCAATTGGGCTAATCAACAAATGAAGTAATATCGCACGGGGGCTCTCAATTGGGTCGGGATGGGGAGGATGACTCGGGAAAAGACCCAGTCGAGGTGTGGTCCAGCACGTTGGATCCGTCCAGAGGTGTATGAATGGGATTTGGGCGGTGGTAGGGCCGGCAGCGACAGAGAGACATCCCAGTGTCAAAGTCGCGACACGAAGAGAATTGACAGAGGGGGGAGGACGGAGATGCTCGGGAGGTTGAGACGTTCAGCCCTGCGCCGGAACGACGACGGAAGAGGAAAAGGAGAAAAAAGCAACCAAAAAAAAAAAAGGGACGGTAATGTGGTCCTCGCCTGGAACATCGGCAGCCAGTGCGTCCCCGCGATGGCCTCTGTTTGGCCGAAGCTCCCCTTAGCTCAGCTGCGGTCTGGGGGAGCTGGGAGCCGAACGCGTCAGCGGCCCCACCCGCCCAGAGTTGACGCTGCCGCAGAGCCGCGCGCCAGGGTTAATAGTTCTTGGGACCCGTGGACCCTTCGTTGGGAACCTTGGACAGTGACAGGAACCTTACCGTAGTTCGACAGTCATCCATGTGGCTTGTGTCGGCTTGCTTCTGGTGAGCGGAAGCAGCTCTGTTTCTTGGCAATATTGTTGCGAAGGCAAGTAGCACTGGGCATGTCAAGAGTGGCTGGAGCTTTTGCATGTCGGTAATGCAGTACCCCCCACCTTGTTTCCCCCTTGCTTTACACTAGCCTCAGCAATCATATCAATGCGCCACAGGCTTCAGTGCTTGGTGGATCCCGGCGGTGGCTTGCCGCCTCGATAGAGGTGGAGCCCGGTTGTGTTAGCAACACAGGATTGCTTTTTTCTAGGCAAGACTATGTTGTTCGTTGCTTAAAACCTTAAAGTTCAATGATTTTCAACCTCTTCGTCCGCCATGCGACCGATCGCAATACCCCGGACGGGTCCTTTGTTATATATCCGTCCATGGAATTCGTCTTATTCGGCGTTTCTCTGACTGGCGCATTTTCCTGGCACTTCAAGTTCTTGAGAATTATGCTGTCATTGATACCGGGAACCTAGCGAGGCAGAACCTACTAATATCCATTTGTGCACGATCTGAGTGGTTTTTTTGGACTGGATCTTTTCTGCGACACAGCTCACTTCGTGATGGACTTTTGGACATACATGAACGTGCATTTGTCATTGCCTTGAACCCAGACAGCAGCCGTATTATTTTGCGCAGTCGGTGTTAAAATTTCAAGCGCCATATGCGTATTCCTGATCGTCAAGTGTTTCGAGGAAGACGTTGGCCGCCCACTCCGGACCCAAGGACCCCACTGACAAAAGTAGCGCCTTGGGATTCAACGGCAAGCAAGGCAAGAGCGTCGACTCTGTAAAGACATCGAGGTGGTCAATAACATCGGTGTTGCCCTTGAGGTAAAAACAAAGAGGGTTATGTCAGTCATTCTCGATGGAGGGCCAAGTTTATCGAGTCTGTCATTTGGCAGCGGGGTATCGAGTGGTGCCAGTGCTCCATGTCGTGATGTTCCAAAACCGTCATGTGAAGCGTTCCTCCCATCCTAACGTCTGCGCAAAGGCCGGAAATACATGCGCATATCGATCCTCATGAGGCTTTTCAGTCAGCTGTTGCAGAGGCGTTCCGGTAAGGGAATAAAAACGCGGCGCGTCGACCACAATAGGCATCCTTTTGTAGCAACGCCAACCTAACAGGCGACCCATCATCCCCTGGCGGGGTATCAGGCTGTGCTTAGCCTGCAGATAATTCCCGCCAACACGTGCTTATTCCCTCAGCCATAACGTGCCGAGCTCTGCTCAGCCTTACACTCTGTGACTGCTCATCGCTTGTCTCTTTAGAACGCAGAGCATCATCATGGCCATGGCCACCCGTCCTAATCGCCGCGACGAGTTCGAGATCGCGGTGGTGTGTGCTCTGCCGCTAGAATACGATGCTGCGGCATTATGTTTCGACGCATTCTGGGACGACGACGGTGACACGTACGGAAAGGCGCCGGGCGATCCGAATACCTACACAACCGGCCGAATTGGGCAGTATAACGTCGTTCTGGCGTTGCTCCCGAACATGGGCAAGGCTAGCGGGGCGAGCGCTGTCGCCAGCCTGCGATCGAGCTACACAAGTTTGAGGTTGGCCATCTTGACCGGAATCTGCGGCGGAGTGCCCAGTCCTGGGACCGACGACGAGATCATTCTGGGCGACGTTGTTATCAGCAGGACGGTCGTTCAGTACGACTACGGTCGGCAGTACCCAGGCACATTCATCCGCAAAGACACCGTGGATGACAACCTCGGGCGAGCCAACAAGGACATCCGAACCTTGTTGGCGACATTCCAGACAGACCGTGGACGTGACGGCCTTCAACTCGGCGCTACACAGGCTCTGAACCAGATCCGTGAGAGCGCTGCAAAGAAGAGACGGCGGGCAAAATACGTTCGCCCTAGTGCATCCAAGGACAAGCTTTTCAACCCGGAGTATCAGCACAAGCATTGGAACCGGGATGGCTGCGGATGCGCAGAGCAGGTATGCGAGGCGGCTCGGGCCGCATCGTGTGACGAACTCGGTTGCGACCCCACAGAACTCGTACCACGAGAGCGGCTCAAGGAGATCCAAGAATTAGAGGCCAGCGGCCCGTACGGCGATAATGAATTCGAGATCTACATCGGCTGCGTTGGGTCGGGCGACATGGTGATGAAGTCTGGCGAAGACCGTGATAGGATCGCGCGGCAGCACGACATCATCGCATTCGAAATGGAGGGGGCCGGCGTGTGGGACGAGGCGCCGTGCATCGTTGTCAAGGGCGTCTGCGACTACGCGGACAGCCACAAGAACAAGAAGTGGCAGACATACGCCGCCGCAACGGCAGCATCTGTGATGAAGGCGATTCTGGCACGCTACATCCGGACAGACAAGCCGCCAGCGGGCAATCGCATCGGCGCGAGCACATCTCCCACACCGTCCAGGGGCCAGGGGCCTGTCTTCAACGGGCCCATTACGGGGAAGTATGTGGTGGCGGGGCAGCACACGAGCGGAGGAACGACGAACATGAGTTTTGGTAGTTGACGACTTGTTTCCCCAGTTTGCTGTTGTAACCAGTCTTTTCTTAAGCCAAGCTCCATAGATTCCATACCTGGCTGTTCTAGTATCGGTGCAGTTGCTTCATAAAGCAGATCACCGTGGTGCGTGACGCAAATAGTATGGACCTGCCTGTGAAATGTGCCATGGTGTCTGTGCCGGTGCGGGGCGACAATGCTGATTGGTGGATGTTCTGCTGACAACATCTGGGCAGGCTGCATGCTCAGGTCAAGAGAGAAGCGTGATAGTTCAAACTTCTGAAGAAATGCATAGCATCTGGCGTCAGACTCTAGACAAAACCTCACACGCAACGGATAGCCTCAAATGAACGAAATGGGCCCGTCGATGACATTCAATGGTCCGCTGCACGGCGAAAGCGTCGTCGCCGGCATGAGCGTGTCGGGCGGCACTGTTAACGTCAACTTCTACCCTGGGCAAACGGATGTGCTATCATAAAACAGCCTTACGAATCCTGACCAAGCTATTCCCATCGAGAGAGGCAGAGAATCCGGAACAGCGTGAAAAGTACATACCGCATATTCTACGAGTAAGCGAGTGGGCTGAAACGGCCAAAGAGGAGATTTTAGTCTCGACTTACTTTCTAAAGAATCCCTTCATCTATTTGATAGAAGACCTTGGACAGAGAAAGAGAAGATGGTTGATAAGGTGTATTTCTTGCGCCAAGGCGTTCTTGGCAAGAGGCACCCCTTGACTATCAGCAGTACGGCCAATCTCGCAGGACCATGCACAACGGAGGTTTCAGGAGTCTGAGACGATCTTCGTACAAGTTCGAGAGCTACATCAGAAGAATCTTAGCAAAAGACACTCTTACACATTTAAAAGCGTGCGGGATCTCAGAGCAGTATACTATGCACAAGGGATGTATGAGGAGTCAGAGAGGATCTCAATGGAAGTTGTAGAACTACGGCGAGAACTCACGGCGGCAGGCACCCTGATACAATCAACAGAATGAGTAGGCTTGCAATATTAACATACTGCGCTCGGGAAACATTTGTTGAGGCAAAGAAGCTGTTGGTAGAAGTGCTAGGACTCTGTCAGAAGGTTCTTAGCAAAACGCACCCTAGTACCATCACAAGCATGTATTGGCTAGTGGTTGTGAGGAGGGTACTGATAGTCTTAAGTTGCGATGGTAACGATCGTGGATGTTTGAAGGTGGCATATCTGTTTAACATCTCTCTCTAGCAAAAAGAATTGTCAGGCGCCCAGAAGGGGGGCACCGGCGCGGCACTAGTGGGGTCGCCGGCGGGGTAGCTGGGGCCGCACCGGCACATAGTTAAGGGAGTATAAAGGGATTCTAGCCAAGCATCCAGCAGACTTCGACGACAAGGGCTAGCCATTAGGTCCACCGTTAGAGAAAGGCGATAGCACAACGCCGCTGGATTAGTGTTATAACCAGGGGAGCTGGACTCGGCCAAGGGGGGGGACCTGAGAGGCATATAAGGAGCAGCTGCGGCGGACCTAGGGGAAAAGGCAGATTGGAATAACAGTCAACACCCACCCCTACCTGTGCCCAACGTCGACCTCGTTACACTGTACGACTCTAGCCTCTGACAAGAATCCAGCATGATACATGGCCGGTTAAGACTGCCCGAAATAGTGTTCGCGGGTGTATGTTATAGCTATCTTGCACGAAACAAAGGAACAACACAATTCTAACCTCTCAGGTAGTCGTAACCACAAATTTGCTTCGTTGCCTGAGTTTGCTGCCGTATTTGAGCAGGAGCCAAGGAATCGGCATAAGAGGCAGCGAGAGGAAAGCAAATACGCTGCCGGCCCAGTGTACGCCTAGCTTCTCGTACATCTGAATGGTGAAGAGGGGGAAAACCGCGCCTAGTGTGTAACGAAGGATGCCATTCGCGGCGAGGGCTGGGAGGTTCAATCAGCATTATGGTCCAACATGGGCTTGGGAATAACAAACCGGACGCTGCCGCTTTGGGTCCGTAAAAGTCCACCATGTAAGTGATGACCGACAACTACAACACATTGTTAGAGATGAATTATTTCTGTTCGAGGATGAGATGTAGACCTACGAAGAGCGAAAAGGCGCCAAGGCCGAATGGAATGCCAGCTGCGACGAGGGCAGCCCAGTTGCCTCCTTCGCGTGCTTCCCACGCATACCTAGTTCATGATTTAGCGGTTGGTTCTGAGACTCGAATGATATTGACTCGATTGGTGGCCAACGTACCAGAACAAGCCCACGGGGAGCATAACGCTTCCTACCAGAGCAGCATAAAGTCGCTGCTCCGGCGTATCAGTACCGGCTAGCACGGCAGGAATCCGGAACCTGGTGTCAAGAAACCCGTACACGAAGGTGGCCAATATGTACCCGATAATGACGCTGATGAAACTTAACCCGACTTGGCGGAGGTTAAATCCGTAGTACAGCTGTAGGACGTACGAGCAGCTGGCGAAGTAGCTAAAGATCATGGCGTATGCGAAGGCCGTGTACAGGGCTAGGGACGAGACGATGATCTCTGTGCAAAGCATCTTTGTCGGTCTCATGACGGCTGTTCTGACGAGGCCTCCGAGGCGGGTGAGGGTTATTGTTGGTTCCCCGTTTTCCTTCCGCAGAATCCACAACTTTGATGTCTCTTTCATCAAAACAATACCCATCCAGATCGGAGCGCCAACAAGGAGGAGGACGTACTGCGTCCACCGCCAATCACCATTCCTGTCTTCCAAAACGTATGCCCCAGCCAAAGGTCCCAGTGTAGGCCCCAGAAACGGGCCGAGGATGTATAGCAATGACGCTCCCGCGCCTTTTCCCAGCTCCCAGACATCAGCAATGGTTCCCGCGCCAACGGCGATACCAGCCGATCCTAGCGTTCCTGCAAGGAAACGACATGCAAGTAGCCCAGAGAACGTCGTCGTGGCTGAGGAACCACCGAGGAAAGCGAGTAGGCAGGTGCAGGAGATGGCGTAGATGGGTTTGCGACCGAAGACCTCGGAGAACGGGGCAATGAAGAGGGGTCCGACAGCGAGGCCGAGGGTATAGAGAGTCAAGGGCAGGACTGATCGTGTGCGGGAAATGGAAAATTCTTGCATTATCTGCGTCGTTGCTGGGACTGTAATCGACGTCGCGAAGGTGCTGCACGTGAGTGATGTTAGCAGATGTTGACTTAATTTGGGTTGAAGGGCAATGAAAGAAGAACAATGAGAGGCAGGAATACATTTCGAAGGCGAGGAAGCATGGGATTGCCGTGTGTAGAATCTTCATTGCAGTGCTCCAGTTCCTGGGATTTCTTTTCTCGCGAGGGTCGTCCCATGTCATTTCTGGCTGTAGAATGTCGTCTTCGGATGATGTGATGTCGCTCTCGATCTGTTTTTCAACATCTTCGGCCGGAGTGTCTGCTCCTGCTTGGTGGGGGGACTGGACTGGGTTTGTTACGCCCATGTTCGATTCTGGTGTTGTGGATCTGAGTATCTAAACAGACTGGAGGCTTATTCGGCTGTTCGATGATATAACGGTTGTGACTTGTGAAGTCGTGGATCTTAAATATGGGCGGCAACTATTATTTGATGTTAGTACAGAATGGCGTCGGCACTGGGATCTATCAGAGGCGGTTCCGTTGATTACCAATTAAACTTTCCGGAATTTGGATGGCATGTGGGCAGGCCAGCGGTTCACGCATGGAAAAATTCTAAATAGAGTCAGTATGATGATTCTTTGGACATCAGTAATTACTTTCCTTGTCACCAATGATGGGGGTTCTTAGTCACTGGCCCTCGGCATGAGTTTGCTCTGCTTCGGTGGATGATTAGTGATCTGGTTTGAGTAGTAATCCGGCATCTGGAGGGTGATGTGAATACTTGCGGGACCCGTGATAGCAGCACGAGTGGAAAGGCTAAGCTTCCTATGAAACGTTCTAGAATAAAACCGATATCGCCAACATTAATTCTCTTCTTATTGCTTTTTAAGAATAAACCTGAAAACACTTAGCTACTTGACGAATGGTGCATAGAAACGTTTTCTCATACTTCAGGCTGTTTACAGTTCGTCATACTTACTACCTACCGGAGAAACTAGTATGGTTTTCTGATTAGTGAACCAAGCCTCAGAGAAAGTGCACACGAGACTGCAAAGCTTGGTTTCGAAGGGAAATGTAGATTAAAACAGCGAAACAACACAGGCGAGTACTGCATTCTTTGGTATGAGATACATCTCCAGGTGCATAAATTCTCACGAAAGATGTTGCCCAAGTTTCAATGCTAGAGAGCATTGGTTATATCATTCTCACGCAAACGAACTCGTTGATCCTGTGAGAAGGCAGTGTCGCCATTGGGCTTGACATGGTCTCGAATCGATGCTGATTATCCACAGTCATGTCTGTTTTCATGATTCTCGAACCCCTGATTACATCCCCTACATATAAACCTCTGACCCTGACAAGAGGAACCAATAGTTCATTTTCGGCCAGGCAATGCATTTTCCCCACCAACTCCGCTGTTACATACCAATGCTCTTCCGATACAACATGATCTCGTAGAGCAGAGTCGAGCGGAGGAAAGTTCCGAGACTGTATGGCCCAACATCACGATTCCTGACCGCATCCATCATATCAAGCACAGTCTTGCCATCGGTGTTGCGGACGCTTGGTCTCGCGCCACTCCTGATCAAAGTCGGCACAGTCAACATGGTAACACACGCACCAAGACCAGAGAGGTCCCACTCTTTTTCAAGCCGCAAAGCTTCTTTGATGAAAAAAGATAGGGGAGTGTCTCCGTTGCTGTCTGTTTCATTGACGTCTGCCCCGGCTCGGATCAGGGGCGGAAGTGCGTCGCGGGCGACGCCAGGCCTGCCTTTTATCTGAGTCGAGATGATGGAATGGAGGTACAGATTGCTCTGGGCTTTTGGGTCTCCCTTTATCGGGTGTTCTCGAAGCAGGTCTGGAACCATCCAGGAGTAACCTTCCTGTATCGCGTAATCAACCGGCGATTTGGTTGTCTCACCAGAGCTCGTATGGGGATCCGCCCCGTGTTTGCACAACAGACGGATCATGGATTCGTTGTCCAGAGAATCCGTCTTGATGGCGATGTGTAACGGGCTGTGACTGTCTGGGTTTGGCTGGTTGGCGTCCGCTCCTAGGTCGCTGATAAGCTTCTCTACCGCGCGCTGAAAGCCGAATTCAACCGCTATGTGCAACAACGTCCAACCGTCACGATGGGGTATCTGAGGTCTGTAGGCCTCGAACATTGACTCGGCGTTATTGGTTTCGTTGGCTAGTATGGCAGCTTGTCTGTCGCCAATCTCCCTCCAGACTTTCCCGCCAGTCAGGATCAGAGTGTCGGGTTCAAAAGACGGGAGCATCATATCAACTATAGCGGCTCGATTGTCGTAGATAGCGAATGCGAGAAACTGCGGGTCCCTCAAAATTCGTTTCTCAGAATCGAGTGTACTGAGGAACCTGTAGGTTTCCATTGCATTATGCCCATACTCATCCATGATAAAGCCGACCCACATTGCAGGTAAATCATCTCTTTCCGGACCGCACTCAACTTGAGCTCCACGTTGCATTAGTTGACGGGCAGAAGCAACATCTCCCTCAGCGACGAGAAGCATGAGAGTTGTACGGCCGAATTTGTCTCGAGTGTTGATATCAGCGAGTCCCTCCTCGATCAGCTTCAACGCAGCGGCGTGTCGCGCTAGCTTTCTGTTAAGATTCCCCGATACGGTTTCGTTCTCCATGAGGTTTCGAAGGGCAACGTCTCCATTGGTCGTTGCCTCGTCGGCGCCAGCCCTCGTGGAGGTGCCCATCGCACTTTCTGTGCCTCGTCTCTGTCGCAAATGCTTTGCAATAATAGAAATCGTCTCGCCAAACTCATGGGGTGGAGCAGAGCTGCCTTCGGTCGTTGCTGCAAGGAATAGTACACTGGACCCCTCCTCATCCAGGCTTGTAGGATCCATACCGAAATTGAGCAGGATTTTCAGAGCCTTGGAATTATGGGCTGCAGCTGCAATATGAAGTGGACTTTGTTTTGTAGCGTGCAGTGCCTTGGAGTTGAGAAGAAGACGGATTATATCGGGAGCAGACGCCGGTGATGGAGGTCTCTGAGGAGCTGGAGCCATGCCCCTTTGGACCATTATGGGCGGCATGCCACAACATATGTCGAGGACCCCGCATCCTTCTATACGACCAGGGAACCTCGCGACTGAATTGATCATATCATCCCAAGCGTAGTCCAACGCGGTGGCGGGACCGGGGCTGTGAAGAACGACTGTAACATCTGCTCCGGCATTCACCAAAGCGATCCCTTCCTCAAAGTTGCCGCGCAGACAGGCCTCTACAAGCAATGTATGTCCTTGTCCCAAATCGTGATTTATATCAGATCCGTGTCGTAGCAGGATTGCAAGAGCCTCTTTGAATCTGTCTGTCTCCCAGAATGCTCTCCAGAGTAAAGTGGCGCCAGAGAGGTCAGGGTCGCCATCAGTGGCATCGTCAATACCCTGCTCCAGAGAGAATTCGGCCAGTTTGGGATAGCCGTGCCGTATAGCAGAGATGAACACAGGCAGCATAGACCACGGCGGTTCGTCGTAGCTAAGTAGGCGTTCCTGTATGTGCGGACACGCCTTGAGCATGTACTTGACCACCTCTGGGTGCCCATGACATAGAGCGACGTGGAATGGCGTCCAGGCCGGGTGCGTATCGTCCCAACTCGACCAGTAAAGTGCCGTGTCGTGATTTCGGCAGCAGAATCCCTTCGACGATATATTGAGCAATGCGCCAAAGTCGACAAGCAGTTTAAGGGCCGATAGATTGCCGCATCTTGCAGCAATATGAACTGGGAACCAATACAGACCCTTGATATCGTGCTCATCCACTTCGTCATAGTCGTCCTGGTCAGGATAACGGATGATCCCAATCATCTCCCTTTCCACCTCTTCAAACTCTTCGAACATGGCCTCGTCGTCCAGCCCGCTCCCGTCATCGCTAGCCAAGTCTCCGTCGTCATCGTTGTCGCCGAAATTGTTTCCGCCATTGGTACCAAGGCCACCAGCCACGTTTAGGTTTGCATCGTCATTGGAGCTTTCTGCGTCATCGGAAGCTTCGCCTGCCGAATAATGGTCGGCAACTGAGGCATTTTCAGAGAATTGCTCCGAGGATGAATCGTCCATGTCGTCAGAGTCGTCGTATTCTTCCAAGAAAAACCCGTTGTGCTCCGAGATATTATCTTCTGTAAAGGAACTATCGTCCGAGAACGGGCCGTACTCTTCCATGGGATCTTCTTCAGCAAAGTGCGCAAAGAAATCTTCACGTTGTTGGAACTGTCGGCCATCGCGTCGGTAGAAGTGTCTGAAACGTTCACCGGCCGACATGACCTTGGGATCCCATGAGACATATTCATGATCCGGTTTGTAGCGAAGAATGCCGATCTGAGGATCAATAGGACCCGCTTCGAGTATCTTCTTCATGACGTTCAAGTTCCCTATTTCAGTTGCCCAACAAAGTAGATACGGGTGGCGGAGGACCCCAAACTGATACAACAACGGATCTGCAACTTGATGAAAAAATTGATCGGTCGCCGAAAGTGCCGCAAGGGCGGCAATCTTTTTATCGGCTTGTCTGTGGCCATAGGTGTCGCTGTCCATCAGAGCTTTGGCCACAGCAATTTTGAGCTCAGGCGGCAGGTCGCGTAGGTTTGCCATATCTCCAATCTTGTGATGCGGTCTCCCTCGAGGACGCAGTGGCCATGCAATGGACTGCGAAAAGTAGATGTACGAGTGGTAAGGCGGTGCGAAAATGCGTAGATGGTAAGATGAGCTGGTGCGGTGATGGCATTTGAGGTGAGATGGTATGATGATGGAGGTGAGGATGAGATTCCAGTTTGCAAGCTTGGACAGTGCGCTGGGATGTTGACAGATTATGTAACCCAGAAGAAGCAAGAAGAGAAACCCTCTCGATACTAGAAGATACTACCGATGATTGCTAGCTTCGGTGCCAATGAAGAACCGATCAACTCAACAAATAAAACGAGATGTGTGCTTTGCGTCCCCTCACTTGGACTACCTTTTTTATTTTTTCCTCCTGGTCCTGGTGAATGAAAAGAATGATCTTGAATTGAACCAATCAAACCATTTGCTAGCGTGGTTCAGAGAGGTGATTGTCGCTTACATAATAGCTGTGATGAGAGCTTTAGCCACACTGCAAGCCATAGGCCACACACACTATGGCTGTGCTGGCAAGCTCAAAATGCCGCAGATTGAGAATTCAACGGGGTCAACGGAAACAGAAACAAAAATACACGACAAACAAAAACGACATGTACTCGTAGACTGCCCAAAGCCAGAATCGAACTGGCGATCTTCTCATTTCGTGGTCTATTCATAGCGACCGGAGGCGACTAATTAGTTATACTAGTGAGACGCTTTACCACTGAGCCATTCGGGCGTTTGCTGCGATCGATGCTGTCCGTGGTCAAACATACTATCTTATGGAGACATTCAACCTCAAACAGTTCCTTCCTCTCCTTTTCAAACAGGGTAATGGGGACTGGTTCCGGTACCAAAATCGACATAGTCATGAGACACTCATTATCTCGGCTCTGAACAATATAGCTGAATTCAAACTGGCAAAGAGGGCTGGTCAGCGATCTGAAGGTGTCCCTGTCATAGCCTCTACAAACTAAAGTGACGTCTAAGAACTGGTCAACTTGGCGTAAAAAGCATGTGGGACTAAACGTTTAGCAGCTTGGATGCTCGAGAGTCAACGCTCACTGCCATAGCAGAATTCGATTGACGAAAACAGTCGCTTGGAAGGTGAAATGCAAGCCAGCTACTCATACATCCATAACCCCAATGGTGCCAAAGATGCCACACTTAGTGTCTATTATCCGAGGAACTTCCGTTCTATTTCGAGTAGTTGCTATTAAAACCCTCTCGCGTAAGTTTTGTCATCATCTCCAGAGGGCAAGGCACATATTACGAGACCCAGCATTTGTGTACTACCAATGGTCGGCAACCTCAACACATTGGTGATCCTTTTGCTCTACGTACTCGGCAATGATGCCGCCACGGCTATGCATAAGCTGAAATGTTGTCCAAAATCGACGGAATGGTAATCTCCACTGCCGGCCAGTAACGGGACAAACACCCCAACTCCGCGCCGTGCGTTGCGTACGCATTCCATGTCGCCGCCGAGATCCGTAAGTCCGTGACGCCGGCATGCATTGCAGAGCCGCCAGCGGCACTGGCGGCGCTCTACACAAGGAGCTGCTATCTAATTGGCTTTGCAACGCGAATGCGAGCGAGCCCAGGACCAAACGAGTCTGCAGTACTGAAGCTCTCGCATTCGTTGCTCCCGCGTGGTCACTTGTCCGACAATTACCACGCTCAGAATGGGATGTAGGCATGAAAATCCCATCATCCGGGTCACTTCAGTAGCCCGAAATCCGTTGCGTCTGTGGCCAATACCGTCAGATGTGATGGCATGAAACACCACGTCCCACCATCCGAAATGCCGCGCGACGCTCAAGCCCCCAAGAAACACAACCCCTCGCCACAGGGTCGCGTTTTGCGACGTCACTAGACACGATCGGACGGGAGCATCCGCTCCTTTTATTGGTTGGTGTAACACTGTTTATCCCCGGAGCGCCTTCGGCTCCGGTGAGAAACGTATCGTCTGGATCTTCGGCGGGCATGTTCCCGGAAACAAGTTGTGCATCTGCATTACTGAACTATAAGACGTTCAAGCTCCCTGCCGAAATACGATGATGGATATGAAAGGGTTCATCCCCTGTTCAGACTCACACAAGCAACCGGTGTTGAGAGCAACACCACCACATTCATAATGATTATCCCACACGATATTTCAATGTTCAGCAATGTGCAGCTGACGGTGGCTTTACCTGTCTTTTTACTTTCTCTGGTAAGCTTATAGGAATGAGATACCATGACCAAAGAGGTCAGAATACTGACGGACCCCATAGGGATTCATTCGACTCATCTCAATTGTTGTCTACAATGTGTATTTCCACCCGCTCCGTAATTTCCCGGGTCCGAAGCTCTACGCCGCTACACGGCTTACATTCTCAAGAATGATCACTAGCGGCAAGGCGCACAAGAAACTTGCAGAGTTACATAAGCAATACGGTCCTGTTGTTCGACTCGGCCCAGAAACCATCGACTGGGCCGATCCACGTGCGTTCAAGGACTTGATGGGTCACAGCAAGGGCAGCGGCGGGATGGAGAACTACAAAGATCCCATCAACGCCAGATATAAGCCGCATAGCATTATAAACTCTGGCCGGGAGGACCACGCTCGCATTCGCCGAGTTCTAGCGCACGGTTTCTCTGCCCAGAGCATGGTTGAGCAGCAGCCCCTGATTCAGAAGCAGATCGACTTGTTGATCCAACGCCTTCATGAAAACTGTGAGAATGGAAAAAGGGCTTTAAACATGGTTGCATGGTATAACTACACAACATTTGACATAATCGGAGACTTAGCATTCGGAGAACCATTTGGCTGCCTCGAGAAGTCGGACTATCACCCTTGGGTTTCGTCTATTTTTGACACCATCCACGCCAACATTTACAGAAATCAGTTTCAGCGCTACTGGATCACACGACCGTTCACGAAGTGGTTGATCCCGAAGAAGCTGAAGGAGAATCAAGTACTCCATCATCAGTTGAGTGTAGACAAGGTCCAGAGGCGCATGGCTTTGGGTGAGTCGAGACCGGATTTCGTCCAGTCCATGATGATGAAAGAGGGTGCTCTGGTGAGTCTCCTGTATAGTAACTCTGGCATAATGTATGCGCTAACCCGTAATGTTTCCAGGCCATGTCGAGGGCAGAGATTGAAGAAACAGCCGATACCCTTATCATTGCGGGCTCAGAGACCACGGCATCTGTGCTCTCGGGTGTCACTTTCTTCCTGACAACCCACCCGGATGCTATGACGAAACTGGCTGAAGAAGTCCGCTCATCGTTCAACTCAGAGCAGGACATTGACGTTCTCAGCGTCCAGAAGCTGCGGTACATGCTCGCAGTTCTCGACGAGAGCATGCGTGTCTACCCCGTTGTGCCGATGGGCCTGACTCGTATTGTCAAGCCTGGAGGAGACTACATATGCGAGAGATACGTACCGGAAGGTGTAAGTGGATCACGTCCGGTACCATTGAGTGCATCGAGGAGCTGGCGCTAAATCAAAACAACAGACTAGAGTAATGGTATCCCAATGGCCCATGTACCATAACGACGAGCAATTCGCGCAGCCAGACGCCTTTATCCCCGAACGATGGCTTGGAGATCCGGAGTTTGCAGACGACAACAAGAGTGCTCTTCAACCCTTTTCTGTCGGGCCTCGCAACTGCATCGGTCGCAAGTAAGTGCAGGATCCTCCCTTACACATTTTCTGTTCTCCGCTGACGAAACAGCTTGGCAATGTCTGAAATGAGAGTTATCCTCGCCAGAGTTATCTGGAACTTCGACATGCAGATTGCAGACGACAGTAGAAACTGGACGGAACAAGAACTGTTTGGCCTCTGGAAGAAGGGCCCTTTGAATGTGCGCTTGACACCTAGGAGGGAGCTTTGAGAACCTTCACATGGCTCAATGCATGATGCTAGACTGAAGATGCATTCAAAACATTGCACCATAGCAAGAGCTTCGTAGTAGAGTCGCCAAAAACAGTATCAGAGTGCATAGTATCGGAAGTTATGGCCTCCCTTCCTTTCCAGAGGCTTCATGTTAATTAAGACACGCATTCCACTCTGCAGCTGCCAAAGCCGGTCCCCTTCGTGTCTTCTAGTAACAAACAAACGTTCACTATGGCTCTGTCGCAATTTTCCGAGACTGCAAACCTCAAGCGCTGATTGGTAGTGTACTAATTCTAGGTATTCCGCCTCTCTACGAACTGCAGCTCCATCAGCGGCGACCCTAGCGGCCACCCTAGCGGCCACCCTAGCGGCCACCCTAGCAGCCATTCGCAATTCGAAACTTGGCAATGGTATGTCTGTTGCACCTCACGAGATCAACAATGGGCTGACCTATGAGTGTTCCCACTACACTAGAAATATAGAAAAGGATTTTTAGTGTGCAGTATTCAAACTTCAAACTTTCTCCGTCTGTGATAAGGTAACGTGCCCGTAATGCCAAACAATAGAACAAAAGCCTTCGCCGCTAAACTCAAATCTGCGATTCGTCTCATATTACCCAAAGAAACAAAATGACAAATTCAGTCCAATCAAAACTTAAAAACTTGATGCAATAGTCTGAATTTCAGCTAGTCATTGTAAAAAAGATCGCATGAGTCTGTTCACGTCAGCATGGAGAGTGTTACCCCGATTGCCATGCTTGATGTAAGAATGAAACTTGCCAAAGGCTAAGTGATACTATTCGTCATGGACGATGCAGAATCAACAGTCGAGGTGAATGAAGGATACTTTAGGCTGGCGATGGCCTCACCAGTTGCCATTGGCCTCCTGTATCAGCTCAATAATTCTGGTCTCGATGTCGCCAAAGTCATTGATGATGTGCCTGCGCGGTTGAGGTAGCCCACAACGATGCTGAGCGCGCCCTTTTCGTCCATATACTCGCTTTTTACCATGGTTGTTTTGTGTTATTTAGTGTTACACAACCACCGACGTGTACCGAATCGTTGTACAAGCTGGCCGCGTGTCCCTTCATTTTCACTATGTTCATGTCTACCCCATCCCCTTTGCTAACTGCGTCTGCCACGGCAAGTCTCAGGTTACCCTCACAACAGCAAACTTGGGGTATTGAGGGCACGTAAGCGCGAAAATCCTTCCCCAACAGTTCAAGCGTGTCGATGTTGGACCCCTAACATTGAAATTATCCATTGAAATGATGCTGATTTGGAAAACCACCGACCCATCAGGCTCCCCCTCCCGTGAAAGAAACATCATGTCACCCCTACCTTTGCCGTTTAGACGGCAATAAATGTGGATGTCCCAGACAGCAATGGGGAGGGTACTGGCCAAATGATGCCTCGTGAGCCAATTTCTGTAGTGCACAAAGATACGCTGCACAATAGTTAACGGAGAAGACTACAAAATCTACTTAGCCAGTGAAACGTAGAACTCAAGGAGACAAGTTGACAGAAGAGACAGTTGAAAAATATGCTAATGGTATTGGAGTTGCTGACTAGGGTACTGGCGGTGATATGATTGAATATGTTGAGGCCCTACTATTTAGGAATGTAAGCTAAAGAGAAGCCATGGAGACTTGGCCTTAAGATTCAACAAGGGTGTCTCGCAGTATGAGTAATGATGTTTTAGAGAATCGGGAGATCTTAACAGGCTAAAACGTGACGTTGACCGGTTCAATAAGTTCAATTTCTCTTAGACTCTTGGCACCAGCATGGCGGTGCGTCTGCGGCGCGGAGCCGACCGTCGATCCTTCTGCATATGGATGCAACTGAGACTTTACATGCAGATAGCCGCCAGCTTACTGATAAAGTCTGAAAGTTTCGCTAGAACGTAAGGCATGAGTCACCTCTTATAGTGCGTTGAACTCACCCTATTGAAATAATATTTTGAAAACATGAACTTTGGAGCCCAACTAGATCCAACAGCCCTCTGTCGCGTCGCAACACACCGTAGCAAAAAAAATAGACTAAGGCATATTGATACAAAGACGACAAGTGTAAAGATCACGCTCAACAACCAGTCTCGAAGCAATGTCCGACGGCATCCCGTTCACCACAGGCAGCGAAGCAACTAGCGGCTGGCCCCCTCACCGGGGCCCTCGTCCCGTATTTGAGCCCGGGCCGGCCGATATCAAAGCTGCTAAGACGGCCGAGAAGAGGGCAGAGAAGGACCGTCAACGACAATTTACGAAGCCGTCTCTCGCCAAGAAGGTAATTACAACAACCAAGACTACCATCATCGAGAAGTTATTGCGTTCAGACCCAGAAAAGCCCAAGAAGCAGAGGGTTGATCGCGACAGGGACGGTGTTCCCATCAGATGAACGTCCATGCTTGCAAGGGCCCTGGATAGCTCTGTAGCAAGGTTTCACACTACGGGGAGGAGCCGTGTACATCGGAGTGAGTTGTTCAGGGAGGGACGAAATCGTTGGTGTTTTTAGCAGAGCCATCACGTCTACTTGTTCCAACTACACAGTACGCGCTTTGGTTGAGTCCCCGCGCCACAATCCGTATTGAGCCAACGTGACACCTTGACGGTTTCACAGCAGCACGCAATGTCACTTGGCTCGGCTTCAACCGAAAATAATCGAGTGAGTCATAAGCCTAAGCAAGAAGTCCTTGAATACATTATGATCATGTGATGATACTACCAAGGACTGTTCCCCATGTATGGTAAGAATGTCCCTGATCAACACATCTAGGGCAGTTGGGCAGACTGCGCGAAGTTGCGCGGGGCAGTGCGGGCTGCGCCCGGGCTGTGCTGATGAGGCTTGTGGGGTCTACGTCACAGGTTGATCGTGCCGATCCGGCCCCACAAGCGCGGAACTGCCCCCGGAAATCCACAGCTGCTGTCAGATGAGCAAATTTCGTGTACTTCGTCTTACCCTTTTTGTGCTTTGCAAGGCGCTTCATAGTACAAGGCGTCAATAGACGAAGGCTTTCTGTAGCAATTGATTCGCCTGCTCGGAGGGTCATGATTTCATGCCAGCATCCCGACGATCCTTCCGGCGCTAGAAGCCTTCTGGAAGGCAGAAATACTGGCCATCAGAAGCTTCTACGGATCGCCAAACCTGATTTCTCGCCCCCAAGGCAGGCTTGATGAACCGTCTTCGCTCTCTTTTTCGAGCAAATGCCTGGCCGTTCTTTTACTTAAATCTTTGATCCTTCCCATCGCTGACTGCGCTGCCCTCATCGACAACATCCAAACTTTCTCGTCTTATCTCCTGAAAATAGCCATTACACAACTCCCATCAACTGTACGTTACAAAGGACCTGCGATGATCTCGAAGGAACTTTAACTAAAATTGTAGATTTCTTCTTTACAATCACAAGCATTATCAACATGTGTACACCCTTCCGCTCCAAGAAACACACCTATGACGGCTCGGGCTACAAGCCCGGACCTGCCATGGCTTACAACTACCATGGCCAAAGTGGCGGCCGTCATTCAAATGGCGGCAAAAGATACCATCATCATAACGGCTTCCACGGTAGTCATACAGCCGGTTATTATGGCTGGAGCGGTGGTGATGGTGGTAGTGGTGGTCACGGACATGGAGGTGGTTGCGATGGCGGCGGTGGCGGCGGTGGTGGCGGCGGCGACGGCGGCGGAGGTGGTGGTGGAGGCTGCTAAATTTCCTGCGGTTAGAAATCGTGACATACTGGATTTTATAATTTCAAGTCACTTGTGTTTGTGATACCTGTTGACAACGAAGCTGAATGTGAACTGTCTTTGTGGCTCTACTTTGACCCCGACGTCGCATTATCTATCAGTATCCCAGCACACGTGGCACTCCGCGGCTTCCAACTCATTGGAATTTCGTCAACGCCGGCACGTTGTATCGTCAATACATGTGAAGGCTTAAATCATGCTTCTTCGCTACCCAATTGAACCCCTGTGGACGAAATGTATGATGGTCCCGGTGCCCTCAGAGAACTTCCATTGCCTTTAAGGCCGTTCGGACCCCACCTGCTGCTAGCGAACTGCATCTCAGCTCATATCTGAATGCTTCGACATCGCTTCTTTCTTACAACATGAAGCCAAGATTGACACAGGCCAAAGCATTACGGGTAGTAAGGGCGAGGCGCCAAATTCGATGGCCGAACACCAGAACAGAATCTTGTTTATACGCAACTCAGGTTCTGAATACACCCCATGAATCAGTTTAATCAAGCTTACCAGTAAATATCCCTACGTCCATTCCACTGAGAATGATAGATATGGCGACAGCTTGGTCGACCTTGGCGGGTCGTGAGTGAAGACTTGGGAGATATCTCATTCAAGTGTGTCACAATTTCCTAATTATGGCCTGACCGAGCCAATCCTTCTTGGGCCAGGCTGGGAGGGGATGGTTCCCATAGCATCCTCGAGGTAGTTCAGCAAAACTTAATGTCGAGATGGGTTTTAATGAGAGTGGTTCTCGGTTTCAGAAAGCGACAGCTGAATAAGATGTCGGTGATGATACCAAATATCAGGCTACGGCCATGACTAATAGAGAAGCAAAAGCACCTCTTTAAGCAGATGCAAATAAACTGAAACCAGCTAAATAAGATGGTTAAAAAGAAGGTCCTGACAACAATGCAACTTCAGGTAATATGTGAGCGAATCAAAGCCCATTCTCAGCTGATCCATAAAAGCGGCAGATAAAATACACCTACTGTTGGAATAACAGCATCAGCTGGTTGTACGACACGCACGACTCAAGGACACACACCATGGCAGAGGGCACAGACTGGATATTCGGCCCTCGGTTATCCATTGAGGGATCAAAGTATATTCATACCGAACTGACTCAGGGACGTACGAGATCATATGTCTTGTGTACGAAAGCCAAGTCTTGTAGTTAGAAAGATAATCACGGAAATACATCTTTGGTTCACCCTTAACTTTTACCCTGTTACGATCGTAAATAGGGATTCTCTTTAAAGAAGAGAATCCATTCAACACCTACAATGCATAAGTACACGCCTTCGAACTTCATACAGTCATCAAAGACCTCAATCTAACTGGGGTTTTCTGAATTTCCAAGTTCTCAATTACAAAGCATCCTTCTGCATATTCGATTTAATGCTACCCAATGCCATTCAATCACTAAGCATAACGTTCGTTGAGATAATCCATTTCTTCAATAGACCCATCACCTGATATGTCATGTTCAGTTAGATCAGTGTCTCCCGTAGATTCTGGTAGAAACGATCCAAATTCTATTTCGGCGGCTCATTAGTTTAATGTCTTACTTTATTATATCATCAATTCTCTTACCATGATCTAGACCAAACGTCTCAACAAAGAAGATGGTCTCCATTTCGTCAAAGCCGATTTCTTCATGTACCTTGTTACTGCTGGTCAAATGCCCATTATCTGTTCCGTTGTTGGACACTGCAACAAAATTATCTCTCTCGACAAAAAGATTTGTATCGAACCGAGGCCCGCCAGCTTGTGCAAGAACAATACTGACTGCCTGGGTTGCCTTCTTGGCTTCCCGCGACCCATCTCCCCTCCTCATCCAGATGCTCCGTGCCGTGCGTAGCGCAGATATGATTTCGCCTGCGCGGTTAAGAATGTGTTTCCGATGTACTAAGGAGCAAAGAATCATGGTCGCTGTTAAGAATTGGTGGTTCATAATGGAACCAACTCTCCAGTGCATCATTCGGAGCAGACCACCAGGGCAGGTTTCCTCATCGAGAACCTTTTGTATATGTAGCATTGCCAGAGAAGCCTCAAGACATGTGTTCCGTGAGTACGAGAATGTATCTCGGGGTTGGGACGCTGTCTCGGCAAACAAAAATCGTCTGTGAAGCATGATTTGCCCTTTATAGAACATGTGGCTTAAGAAGATTCGTGCCATAATGGTCTGAGGCGAATCGGTGACACTAGCTGCCATTGACTTCATTTGCAGTGCCGGAGGAATACTCATCCTGGCTTTGTGTAAAATGGCATCGACTCGCATGATTTCAGCATAGCTGCATGGAACCAACGAGGCGGTCAAGTCGGAAATTGTTCCAAGTGCGATCAGAATCCTTCTCCGCGCAATAATTCCTAAAGCCGTTGTGTGTTCTGTCTCCGGCCGTGACTTGGGTATTACCACCATGGATCTGTTGAGATCTTCATCATTCAGGTTTCTTGGCTCTGCCGTGTCGAACTCGTGATCACGAATCATTCGAGGCATGCCCATCTGACCAGAGATCAAAATATCTCCTAGCAGAATCGTAGCCCAAACCCTGCGCCTCATCTCTCCTTGAAGTGGATTGATGTCATTGAAATGCTTAGGGTCTCTGTGGTAACCCATACGCTTTGCCAGGTTCACCTCCAAGCCAAGAAGGAACCAGACATCTTTCTCGGCGTCATCGCGGATGCGGAACTCAATGTACACATAGTTTGTGAAGGTTTCAAGCGCATGTTGACCACCTTGAGTGTACTCGCCCATCATAAGACATTGAACTAACTTTTCCCGATACAGGTCGATCTGGAGCTGTTGTTGCTTCTGCTCAGATCTGTGACTGGCAGGATCTGATGCAACGATGGCAAGGCACAGCATGCTGTACAGAAGACCAACCCACATGATGGGTACGCTTTCGGGGTCCGTCCAGAATTTATCGTACTACTTATATCAGAACTGGGACACCATCTTGTTTGTGGATAGAGCTTACCTCCTCAATAAAAGATGGTCCATGAACAGATGCTACAAGGATGTTAGTAGAACACATGCAAAACTACTGATTAGAGACCAAACCACTGACATGAAGCAACAAGATCGAGACGGCTAAAGTATCGTTCAACATACCGATCGACTGCGGATTTCGGTGGGAGGCCGGACAAAATTTCTGCCATCGAGGATGCCGGTCGACATCCATACAAAAGCAGGGCACGCTGACTCGGGTGCTGCGGCCCGAATACTCCATCCTCATTACTATCACCGTCCAGTGACTGGATTGGGCTTTCAGCAAGCATCAGGTGTTCTTCTCGGTCAAAGTGGTTCTTCAGATCGGCTATACTGTCCAGAATGGCAGCCCAGTGATCACTTCCAACGTACTGGTGCTTTGAAGCACTAACACGCATGCTCCCAGTTTCCAATCGATCATCGAATACAGTATCTCCATTGTTGGTCGGTGAAGGAATGCTTGTGACCCCTACAGTATTGATCTTTGGTTTCATCGGTAATGAACTCAATGTCAGCACAAGACGTTCAAGATCAGTTATGCGATCCTGAAGTGACGCAGTGTCGCCAGCTGTTTGCCTTGAAATCACTCCGGAGGTTTGATTAGCCAGGTAGACACATGGATGTCCTCGCAATGAACAAGTTGCACAAGGCTGTTGCCGGTCGCATCGGGTTCTTTGGATCACACGTCAATTTACACCCTTTGGCAAATCGGAATTGCATTGAGACTTACTTGCGTCGTCGACAAAGACCACAGGAAAGTTGTGGTTTATCACGACGCCGGCTAGCGCTCAGCCGCGCGGCAAGTGTCGGCTCAACATTATCACGGCCCTGAGAGAAAGTTCCAGTTGTCGATAACGCTGATTGAGCCATTTGAGACACGGAGATGGCTTTTAGACAACAATATTCGGGCCCCAGAATTCCCAGGACGCCCGTTGTGCAACTCAATATGAGGATACTCGTATGAGATGTCCGATCCTGGTTACGCAGTCAACAGTCCCTTCGATTGTGGTGTTTAAGAAGACAGACGGCTCTATGGCTTGAGAATGATTTGGTGAAGTTGATAGATGGGATGGGATGGACATTGCTTGTGACTGTTGAACGGCAAGCCGATGACTAAAGTAAGCACTAGTCCGGTTCCTTCTCAGCCGATATGGATTTAAGGTCCCGACACTCCGATCCTCCGGCCGACCCTCCATTGCCCCACATCACTACGAAATAAGTTAGCCTATTTAATGTATTACTTATACATATACAGCGTGCTTGCCGTCGTCCATTCTGATGCTGTACTGTGGTTCCCGGTGTTTTCAATCTATTTGATGAATAGTTTCCACACAGGGATACTGGGTGGTTCGTAATGGCCAAGATGTAAAATTAGCCGATTACCATCTTTCTTGGCACACCTCAGAGTAGACAAGCTTGGTGAAAAATGATTGCAAAGCAAGATCTCGGGCGATCAAATATATTCCTAGTCTTCCCGGTGTTGAGCACGAGCGAGAATCCGGATTGCCTATTGCAAGTCGATTCGCCAACCACCGGAAGGATCAACCCAGGAGGTAAGTGCGCTATAACGTTCTGCACTTCTATACTGATACTCGCGTATGCAGGCTGGGTCTATGGATCGTGCTGGCTTTTAGTGACTGTACAACAGCATTGTTGCAAAGGCAAGGTTCGATGTTCATCGGCGCTCTTTTGACCTGGCCACATGATGATATAGACTCGGATTACAGCAAGACAACGATCGTGACGGTGCAAGCTATGCTATAATTAATGCAAAATTATTCTACTTGAGGTTAAGCATTCTGGTGCCTTCACAACCTAGTCAACTCTAGGAACAACATCGTGACAGAAATTGACTGTTAGTAAGATGTTACCGTCACCCTCCAAACCTCTAGTCATTCTTCTCTTTTTTACACTGGACCTCAAATCGTGCACACATCACTTGCTCTTTGGTTTCATCTTGGCGATTGTTTCCACTGGCTATGTTCGCCAACCTAAACTTTTAACACAAATTTCACAACATCACCAAAAGACTTTGCATCAGCTTTCATAACCTCTCTGCAGGCGAGATGTTACTCTCCGGAAACCCAGATGGATCTTTTCAAAAGTCGACTTGACAGAACAGTCATTGTGCTACTGGTACATCAAATCAGGCCTTATCATGATGTAAAGATTGTACTGTCTAGCGATTTCTGAACTATCGATGTCTTGCATCAATTTCTAAACTCCTTCCTTATTCGAATGTACCAGTCAAACCCACGTATTGGCTGATAGTCTGACAAATATAATCTTGCAGTCAGAAGAAGCTCTGTCTAACTTCTTCAGTAGACCAATCTTGTTATCTTTCAAGCAACAGAGTCAAGGGCGGCCTCAAGCTCAGCGAACTGCTCAGGGGTAAGGTCCGAGTAGCTGAGGCAGTCGGAGCCACAGGGAAGAGCGAATGGTCCAGTACCATCTCCCACAAGAACATTAGCAAGATTCATGCAGGTTGCTGGCACACCACTGAATTGGATGACTGAGAAAGAAGTTAGCTGATGAACCATTTGGCTCTGTGTGAACGAAAATTGGCAATTTTGAGGGCCACAACTTACCATTTGCAGCTGGAGAAGAAGCAGTGATGGTGAGACCAGCAATGTCCGTCTTGCAACGCTCAAACTCAAACTCAGGAACTCCAGCGGGAGGACCCTGACGTTTAGTAAAAACGGGAGGAACCCCATCACGCTTTGAGAACACTTCTTTGAAGAGATCGGCAATACCTAGCCCGAAAAACTCAAAGGCGAGGCTGATGCCACGACCAACATCGGCTTGAGCGGGCTGAACAGCCATAAGGGCAAGAGGGGCAAGAACAGCGACGGCCTTCATTTTGATGATGTATAGGGATAGGGGAGATGATTGGATGGTGAAAGCTGACTGGCTTTGAAACTTGAGTTGTCGGTATCGTTTTGGATGATGAGACGAACGAGCGAATGGTATTGGGAAGTCTTCAAGGGTTTTATAGTTTTCCAGTATCACTCTTTATCGTTGTATAGTACGACTTGTTTATGTCCATTCAAGTCAGAAACAGAGAGCGTCACCTAGTGACATCAGATCTCGATGATAGTCCATTAGTTCCCGCATCTCGGTGAGAGTGTTGATTAGGTTGAATTAATCGGACCAGGGTGAAAGACACAGCATGGCTCCCAAGATGATGATTCTGATTCACACAGCCGTATGAGAAACGTCAGCCAAGCTCATGAAAATCGATTTGCAAAGTACCAAGGTCCAAGCTATTCCTATGTTACAATCTAGGCAGGATTCCGGGTCGCATCAATTACCTGATTGAGTTGAAAAATTTCACTTGCATGTCAGGAGAAATCCTTGAGGATGGTGCCAAGTAACGATCCTGAAGTCTCTGCGACTTTGGTGTTGTGGAGTGATCAAGGGTTGGTTGTAAGACTGAAATCCAGGTTAACTGCATTTAGTATGTAAATTATTGGAGGGAAGCGCAGTAATCCACGTACAGAATCGCCGGGTCATCGAGGCTGGCTGTGACACAGAGGCATCCATCATAGTACGGAAAGAATCTTCTAATACTGGTTGCCCAGCTTCCTTCGTTATTCAGGTGACTGGCAGGTCCACTTATGTTGGGGTCGCTTTGTGTGAGCTTTTCCCCGGTGAAACCTGTTACCTGCTGGGTACTTTCTTTAAAAGACAGTGAAAGTTAAGGAGACGAGTAGCTTACCAAAAAACCAGAAACCTGTGGTACTGTGGGTATCTAAGGATAATCACAGACAAGACTACACTAAAAGATAAATTTCAACCCTTGTTTTCCACCTACAGCTCTTAAAACATAAATCCAACGTGACCAGCGCCTTGCGGTCTTTAGAATAAACTCAGCATAGAACCATAACGACCTGCTCTAGAGACGTCACCAGTTATTGTGTCATACTAATTAAAATACGTTTTTTCCCCTCGGAAGTCGAACGCTATGTGGCCAAAAGATTTCACTGTTAGCCGGTAATAGGCAATAGATTGCTAAGATCACGGACCGCTCTACGCGATGCGACACGAAAGTGGAAAAAGAACAAGGGGCGAAACTGCGTCTAACGTTTTCCTACTTTTTCTAACAGACGTCGCGGGGCTGCAGAAAGCTATACCTCTTTTTACCATAAATCAATCGAACTAGTTTCTTTCCCCCTCACACATGTCCGACTTTGCCGTGCCAAGGAAAGAAGACATTGCTCGGCAAGGAAGACTGACATTCGTTCAGACACTTTGCACAAAAGGCGATCACGACAAGTGAAGTGGTAACACTGAAGCCCCCACTGAAAGGAGTAGTCGATAATCCTTCAGTCTGGGCATTGAAATTTCGAGCTTCACCGGAAGTAAGCTGTAACCAAGGTTTTTAGATACTGCAGTAGCTCAGTTTTACTATCTTTCTGATTGGACCGTTGGAGAACCGACTCTCACTGCTTTTAACCATTTCTTAACGTTGGGTCGCAGTGAGACTTTGGTAAATAATGTAGGCTAAGATGACCCACAGTGATAGGAACTTATGCTCCAGGAACAACTCACAGAGCTATCTTATAGGTTTTCGGGTAGGTAGGACCAGAAATTCGAGATGGAACCCCACTACCTAACATGGATCCCAAAGTTCCTTCTGCTTAGGCTGAAGCCAAGAGTCTACTTGTATGCAGGTCCAACTTGATACAGGATTCGTTGCCTAGCCTGGCGAGATCTTGGCCTAAATGATCCTTGTTTGTGATCGGCGATCGCTCCCTCAGCCGCCACATAGCACATGCATAAGGCCGCAAATGTTCCGAACGAACCGTTTCTGCACATTCTCGTCACGTATCTAATGAGTTGTGGCGATGTTCAGGGCACCATTCCTTCCATGTTTCATGGTTATAAAGGAAGCTCGGCGGCTTCAGTCACGTCAGCCAAATTTAATTCGGCATTGAAAGGGAAAAGCTCAACTGTTGAGTGGATATGTAACCAGACATCTCGAATTAGTATCTATTCGTTGCTAAACCATATTTGCTTTCATCTCTTCGATTGAAACTCTGGCAGTAGCATCACATCTTCATGAGCAATGGCGTCTGGGTTGATGAACCACATTCACAGCACAGAGCTTTCAAACTTTTCCCAAGGTTTTGTGCCAGTGACCTGGTTCTTAACCTCTTTGCCAGCTTTTGCTGTGACTGTCCAGCAACCCCCGGGTTTGAGAAGATGGATTTTGTTCCCTTTGAATATTCTGGGACCAGTTCTTTGCGTGTTCGAAGCGCGAAGACTGATGGCTGGCTTGGATTGGATTTGCATCTTCACATCCATTATCTACATCTTTCATATCATCTCAGGGCTCTATCTCGAAAAATGGAGAATGCCCGTTCCTCAGCGCGGCTCCAGGCATACCTTTAGAGACAGAATGCGGCTGACGATCAAAACATGGAACAACCCACGACGGCTCCCAGTCCGTTTGGACAGCTCGCAAGACCTCACTACCCAGAAGCAGAGAGCTCTATTTGCCGGTCGTAAGATTGGCATCGTGGGTTTGCACTGGGTAGCGTACCTGGCAATCGACCTGGGATCCCTCTACCTGCTTCGTCCTCGTCCGCGAGAGTTTGCATCACCAAGCTATCTCCACTTCGCATTGGACCGCGCTTCTCTCTTACGAGCGGTTTACTGTTTGCAATGGGCCTGGCTCACCTACTTCATACTTACCGTCGCCAACGCCGCCTGCGCCGTCGCCTTTGTCTGTATCTTTCAAATCGATGCACCGGATGAATGGCCGTCGCTGTGGGGTAACCCTCTCGAAGTATACAGTATTCGCAGTTTCTGGGGCGTCTTCTGGCATAAAATTGGAAGCAGATCGCAACTCAACTTCGGCCAGCGCTTTTCTCGCGCCGTCCTTGGTCTCGAAAGCGGAGGCACGCCCGATAAGGCATTTCTCGCATTCTTCGTCTTCATGGTCTCGGGTTCGACACACGCTTTTACGAACTTTCTATCGCGGGATACGGCACCAGTTGAGGACACCTTCGGAGATATGTGGTTCTTGTTCCTCAATTTCATCGCGGGTCTTTTGGAGATTCACGTGGAGCGGTTGCTCAGTTCCCAAGCAGGAGCCCAGTTTCGGGAAAACGACCAGCGCATAAACATGAGCACCATCAAGAAAAGAAAACAAGTTTCGCGGTTAGCAAGGGTCTTAGGAATGGTCTGGGTCTTTTTGTTTTTCTACTGTACGGTGCCGCCGTTTCAGTATCCATACATTGAAACTGATCTCAGGCGGCGATTCCTCCCTTTCAAATTAAAGGTACAGCTCCAAAGACCACAGACTCCGTCTCTTGTATAGATATCCAAAAGACTTTTCAGAGTTGAGATAAAACTGCCGTAAACAACCAAAACTTACCCACAACAAGTTTGACAGGCATAAGCATCCACCTTAATCAATGTATCCTAGTTTGCGCAGAGCCACCAGTTCGAGCTCCGCATTATCGGCGACGGTGAAAGGCCCAGCAACTTCCACATCCGGTTTTCTGGTATATCCCGTTTCAAAATCCTGGTATCTATCCGTCTTCTCTCGTTCATGCCAAAGCTTTTGTACCAAGTTGCCAACGTTGAGTCTGTTGCTGTCTTTTCTAGAAATGTCAGTGACAACCATGGCGCGAATCAGCTTCGACCAGATGGGACGAGCGCCAGGGTGTGTCTCCGAGAGAACACGTCCCGCAATCTGTCTGTAGAGACTATACCAAGTCCAGGACTGGTTTTGCAGACCTAGACATGTGTCCTTATGGCCAACCTCAAAGGCAAATGGGAAGAAACCAGCCATTTCCCAGTCGATGATAGCCACCAGTTCGTAAACTGCTTTGCCTACACTGTTAATGGCTCGTCGAACGAGAATATTTCGTGGTTCTAGATCGTTGTGACACAACACCAGCATGTGCGCTAGCAAGTCGAGATCTGTTTGGGCAAAACCGAAGGCTACTTCTTGTGGAGGGTGCAATTGAATCGCCAAAGCCCCATCTGGCTTTTCATTGATGTTGTATCTGGCATTCCCAGGGCTCATTGTAGCCATTAAGAACGACGCAACGTCATGGAAGTAACCGTATGCTGGTCCACCAACCAGAACAGGGCGCTCAACATCGGTCGCCTCGAATGGCGTACCCTGCAAAAGTTTCTTGGCTTCGTCGTTGATGTTGGCCAAGTAAACGTCCTGCAACTGGAACAAAGCGGAAAAGGTCTGTACTACCAAGGATTGTTGCGACGACTTATCCATGTCATCCCACACCGATTCCAGCGTGCAAGAGTCCACATAGAACTGTGAAAGCATGTACGAGAGCATGGTACCTGTCTCAGTCTGAGTGTGGCCAGAGCCCCAAACCTTGGGGACCAGATGAGGGAGTTGTATATGAGCTAGTCTCTGTAGTGCAGCTGTCACGAAAAGGGGGTTGTCATCTTGACGCTTCTCAATGCGTATGAGGAGGTCTGTTGGAAGGCCGCGGGGAGACTGCTCTTCTTCGAAATAAGCTACAAAGGTGCATGTATCGAAGTTGTTGGAGATAATACGATATTTGCAAACTGTGATATCGTTGAGCTCAGAGATCCCGGAAAGAACCGTGATATCGGGGACAAGACAGTTTTGATAAAAGTCAGACATCTTGGTCCAAATGCTGGTGGGCCTAGTTTGGGTGGAGATTGAAGGATTGAATTTCGGGATTGACAGTGAGATTTGTTGAGGGATTGTCAGTAACTGTTGTTCTTGGAGATTGGGATTGAATACAAATGCCAAATTCGATGGACGGAAGTTCGTAATAAAAATATACCAATATGTTGCCAAAAATTATTCAGGAGAGTTTCGTGGAAAACGAGAATATTCGAGTCTTTCCTCTAAGAACAAATCACAAAAAGACCCATTGTCTGATCTGCTTTTCTTTCGAGATCCGTGAATAATCTTGGTTGGATTCAGAACTTGCATAATATCATAGATGAGTAGCAGAGAGAACAAAGCCGCGTGATTCAAAGATTCACCTCCACCGCTTTGATAGGAATTTGTTGTCCTGTGTGGATTGAAGACAGTGTCCACATATTGTACGCTGGTGCCTTTTCTTTGATATTTGAGCACTAGACTTTTTATACAGTCCCTTTCATGTGAGATGTATAATGCAGGCTCAGCGAAGAAAGGTTATTGCCATGGTCTTGCACAACGAGTTGTTTAGCAACATCTGGGAAGTCCACCAAATTAGCGACTAATTAAGATGGAAAGATTTCCTCCTCAACCGGATCAGCAATTCATCAGTATCATAACCGAATCATCAGTCCAATTCAGTAGCTCTGTATCTCGTATACCTCAAATTCGCAAATATGGCTCCATCGACGACCACTGCTCCCGTCAACACCAACAAATGTGGCAAGTGTGGCTTGAACTACACCGGCGCCACAAAGATTTGTAATTTCAACAAGTAAGTTCATATTGGGCTTACATGTGCCATGTCATATCATCTTTGGTGCTCTAAGCAGGAGATGTGTCGGACGAAGTTCGATGAGGTACAACCCTGTGCGGCTAGAATAGTCGGGGTAGTAGATAGAGACAATTGATTTCGATAAAAGAATGATTCCAGATTCAACAAACTTGAACCGTAACAATCATGTAAACGTGTTACCCACTCCAAAGTTATGGAGTTGTCGAAAATGTTAAACTTGGGTCTCGAGATTCGGGCCCTATCAAACCGGGACCTTGGCCACGGTGAGGCCCCAGCGGCCCGAGCTCACCGAAAGCCCCACCTGAACCCCCACCAAACAACTTCCTCACCTCTCACCTCCAACCCACTTCACCTCATTCCAACACTCACCACTCACCGTGCATCTCATTCGCCTCAGTGCCGCCACAAGTCGCCAGGATGGATACGTCACGAGACTCATCAAATTTGCTCGACACGCACAACCGCCTCATTGCAGATGTTCTCTCGCGGTTCCGCATGCTGACGATGCTCGCCACGATCCAGGCCGAGGGCGAGCGCAAGAACGCCGAGCCGCAGACCGTTGCCGTGACGGGCATGTCGATGCAGATGGAGTTTGAAGGACTGGTATGTAACTCTCTACAACTGCCTCACGCGATGAGAGCCCTATTCCGGCTCCGATCCCCCCTTCGGATGAGCCTGCGCTGACTTGGAAGTGTAGCACACCTCGATCAAGGACCTTCTTGCCCTGAGCCGCCGCCTGAAGGAGCTCTGGCTCTTCGGCAAGCTGGGGCGCGGCGAAGGCGATGCACGCATCCAGGCCGACAAGCTCCAAGCCGACGTCGTGCGCTGCGCGGAGCTTCTCAACACCATCCAGGAGACTCGGTACGCTGGTCTGGCGAGCGCGGCGGGCGGCAAATGGGCGCCAATGGGAAGGCCGGACGCCGCTCCTGTCGAGGGCGCTGCTGTGGCTGCTCCTCCGCCGGCTAACCCCGTGGCGCCGAATGGCAGTGGCAATGGAACAGGTGCCGTGTAGGAAGATGCATGAAGTGGGGATAAGGGACAAGGGACTGGGAGGTCCTCAAGACTAGAGAGTGCATTTACTGGCGTTGGGATGAACTGGAGACTGTGTGGTCTAATGAGGCTTCACGCTGATACCCGTATGCAGAGGACGGAAAAGAACTATTTATGCTTTTGATTCTATTGCATTGTATCCGCCACCGATCCAGAGGCGATTGGCTGGGTCTATACGCCGTGCTGTATGCTCAGCTCCCACCATTCCAGAGGCATTTAGCCGTCGCCGTTCTCAGGGTCCTCGTCCTCGTCACCAATTTCAGCCTCCAGCGTCTTCGCTCCCTTCTCGCCCTTGGCCGTGCGAATCGCACCAGCGTCAATGCCGCCGGCCGTCAGCCACAAGAAGTAGTCGGACTTGAAGTTGTCTACCTGCTGGAAGAAGATGTGGAAACTGTCGAGGGGTCAGTCGATATGTCATGATCGAACAGAATGTTGTCATCATAACTCACGTATTCTCCTGCTCCTCCACTTCAAAGATGCGCTGGTAGATCTGCTTGTCCTTGAACGCCTGCAGCTTGTCGTCGTACTTGGAAAAGTCAATCGTCTCCTTGCCGAAGTTGTCCTTGGCCCTGCGGTTGTACGCGTCGAAGACGGGCCGCTCCAGCAGCAGGCCCAGGCCAGGCGCCTTAGGAATGGCGATTCTCGTCGGACCGTAGCTCTGCTTGATACGCTCGAGCGGGGTCGCGCAGCGGACCACAAGGGAAGCCATGCCGACCATCTTGCGAATCTGGTGCATCATGAAGCTCTGGCCGTGGACCTTGAGGGACACCCACTCGGTGTCGCGGATCTGGATCGGCTCCGTGTTGACCTTAAAGGACTTGATGTGGCGCTTGGCCGAGGGGTCCTTGAAGTTCTTCTGGACGGTGTAGTTGTGGAAGTTGATGGTGCCGCAGTACTCGTTCAGCGCGGCCTGGAGCTGGTTCAGGCGCTCGGGGGTGACGCGGTACCGTCTCTTGGCGGCAATGTAGGCCGCCTTGATGTCGCGTAGGGCAAAGTCGAGGGGCGTTAGGTCGCGGTTCCGGGGCTTCACGCTACCCTCGGGGACCTCAGCAGATGCCTTGGCCTCCGTGGTGGACTCTGTTGTCTCGGTATTGGGCGCAACGACGGGCTCAGCTGGCTTCTCCTCGGTCTTGGCCGCGGGTGCAGCCTTGGGCTCCTCCACCTCGCCACCGGCCGCATCCTCATCAGCGTGTATCCTCTCCATCACCTTGGCCCTGGTCTCTGGGTCAAGCTTCTCGAGAATGGGCTTGATGTCTTTCTCGTCAACCTCCCTCCAGTAGCCCTCGACGTCTGCAAGCTTCTTCTGGAACTCCTCGTAGTATCCCTTCTCCTTTGCTACTTCAACCAGCTGCTTCCACAGCCAGCTGTCGGGGTGAGGGGGCAAGAGGCAGTAGGTCGGCAAAAGGTATTCGTACCATCTCGAGTCGCAGGTCTGGTAACAGCTGAAGGAGTTGTTTGTGCGCTGGATACCCCAGACGCGGATTTGGTCGGGCAGATTGGCGTTGATTTTCTCAACAATGTCCTCGTCCTCGATGATGAGCTTCAAGCTGATGACGTTGCCGGCCGCGTGGACGCCCTTGTCGGTTCTCGCGCATCGCACCAAGCTCGACTTCTTGTGGTCATCGGCGTTGGCCTTTGAAATGGCGCCAGCGGCGACAAAGGCCTTGAAGAGGTCTCCCTCGATCGTCTTCTCCTCGTTGTTGATCTGCATTCCCTTGTATCCAGTGCCGGAGTATCCCACCATGACGGCAACCTTTCGCTTGGGTCGGCGGCCCTCGGCAGCAATCTCTTCGGCGCTGAAGGGACTGGGGACAGCCTCGGGGTTGCCGTCCTTGTCTACCTTCCTACGCTTGAACTCTTGGTACTCGGCATTGCGTCCGCGCTTGTCAGTGGCCTCGCGGCTGTTACCTGGTTAGAAATTGTTGGCGCGCGTGCGGACTAAGGTGGGATCAAAACAGCCAATTGGTATCGGACGGATGTATCTTACCTCCATGCTGAGCGTCCGACGTCGTGCTTGCGCTTGGGGCCGCGAGATCTGCCATTGCGCTTCTCTTCGCGTCCGCCCTCCTGTCCACCCACCGCAGCAGAATTGGGCTGGGTCGAGCTCTCGGTGCGGGACTCTGATGGAGCAGACGGTTTGTCGCCGGTTGGAAGATCAGCGCGCTGCCTCGCGGCAGCACCGTCGGTCGGTTGAGGAGGAGTATCGGTCGCCATATTCGGGTTGATATGGCGGACGTTCTCATGGTCCGTACAGTGCAGGTGGAGTGTTCACGTCCGCCTGTCGCAGAAGGCTTTGTCAAGAAATTTTCCTGCAAGCTGCAAGGCTGCGGGACGCGGCGCGGAGGTGCGGGGCCCCCTTCGGCTGAACACCGGTTGGCAGAGTCTCCGTGGGCATAGCAGTCGCTGCCAGAAGCCTGCAAGGATCACTCACTCGACTTTGTCTCTACTCATCCTTGTCGCTCATCTACGTGTCTCGGGTTTTCTTAATTTTATCCCACTAGGAGTTGGTGTGATGTAGTATCTGGACATCCCAATCCTCCCTGTAGAGCTGTAGCAGCGGCTTCACTTCTACTTGCAAGCCACCTGGGGCAAACATTGAGGTTTCCATGCATTGCTGACACTGGCGGCGTTAGATGTTCAGTTCAACGCCAATTACACTGCCTTGTCTCTCAGCAGTGGGTGTGTGCACGAGTCACAAGCGGAACAGCGGCTAGCTGTAGCGAACATGGTATCGGATAGAGATGGATGCGATTGGCTCCCCCACTGAAGCCCGCCGACTAATACGGCAATACGACGACTACTAGATTCCGTGTCAACGTTCCGGTCTCTTTCATCATCCTACAACTTGCCGTACCCAAACATAGTCTCTACTCTCTTCCCCCGATTCCGCCCATTCTACGAACGAATCCGATATTGGTGGCTTTTTCTCGTCCATTCTTGCCGGGAGTACGTCAGTGCTATCACTCAAGGCCACCCGAGCTTACAGCGCTCCACTCGATTCGGAATCGATCCTGTTCCACAATGCCAAAGCATCGAAAGTCTCGCCTTGGTTGCAAAGAGTGCAAAGACCGCAAAGTCAAATGTGACGAGTCGCGGCCCATCTGCATCAGATGCAAGGGCGCTGGGAGAGCCTGCTCATATCGAGAGCTTGTCAGCAGCTTACCGACGCCCACATCACAAACGGCGTCACAGCCACCTTCGACACCGGTTCCGAGTCTGCATCCTGATAGTACCCAAGAAACCCGATCGCGTCTAGGTTCGCATCCCGCTACGCCAGCCTCAAGTCCTGACGATATCATCACCTCCTCCATCGACCCACGTCAACTGCGCGAGTCTTTCGTATCGGAGCGCTTCAGCTTGTTCCACTTCGAATTGTTGCTGCACTTCAGAGGCACATTAACGGATGTAATGCTCGGTCAACAGCCCGAGATTGAAAAGATCATGCGTCTGACATACGCTGAAGCCTTGACAGCTCCTTATCTGATGGACCAGGTGCTGGCTTTCGCCGCTGCTCACAAAAGTGCGGTCGCTCGGGAAGAAGAAGCGAAAACATTGTATCAAACCGAAGCAACCCGACTTCAGACTAGGGCCATTAGCACGTTGGATTTCGGGGACATGCAGGTTACTGAAGAAAACATCATGGCTCTCTTCTGTTTCTCCCTCCTGATCGGCCAGCAAACACTCTTCGACGCTTTCTCTTCCGCTACATCCATCCCAACAGTCCTTGACAAGCTCGTTCAGTGCTTGACTTTGCACCACGGCATCAAATCTATTGTTGCGGATTCTATGAGCAAGTTCCTGTGGTTGTTGCAGAAATATATTCCTCATGATCCTGTTTACTCGGCTGTCGATGTTACACAGTTTCCCCACGGCAGCGAGTGTGACATTTTGCTTCGTCGTCTTGTGGAAAGCGATATAAACGAGCAGAACAAATCTGTTTATGTCGAAGTTGTCAAGATACTGCAGTATCTTTTTGGTTCTGTGCGATCGGACAGCAAACGCAACTATGTTGTGATCCAGGAGTGGCCAGTCCGAATATCTCAAGACTATATTGCACTTTTGAAACAACGTAGGCCAGAAGCGCTGGTTCTTTTGTCTTACTACGCTGTGCTTCTTCACTGGGCGAAAGACTATTGGGCAGTAGGTAGCTCTGGAAGCTTTCTGATTGAAGCCGTTTCGCGTCACCTTGGCTCTTATTGGGCGGACTGGCTTGAATGGCCAAACAAAGAGGTGAACTCAGACGCGATTCGAGGCACGTAGAAGCGAAGTTTTGGTTGAGAAACCAATGGGTTACTGCATAATCTTTGTACGTATCACTGCTAGTAATTTACTCACCATAGATACACATAAATGCAGTAAATAGGCCCATAAGAAGTGAAGAACGAGAAAATGAGCATCCCAAAGTGAAACTTTACTTGTTCCATCACAACTCGTTCCAAGGCTGCGCAGGCCTCTTGGTGTAGCTCGAAATTAGATTGTCACCAGAGCAGTGCCAGCACTCATTTTTGGATGCATCACCGCACTCTTGGCCGAAGATCGAGGTCTGCGGGTACGGGCACAGAATCCGGTGATGTATCATGTTACTCACAGTAACCTCGATCGGCGTGTTCTCGGGTGCAGTGCCATTCTCGACCCAGTCGCGCAGTTGTCGGAAGAGTCCAGTCGGTGACTCACTCACGCCACCAAAGCAATGCCCTAGCCCCGGTATCTCGAAGTATCGGTAGAAGTCGTGGACCTCGGGTATGATGTCTGTTACGGCATTATAGTAGTCCTCGGTGCCGCCCGGGGGGATGACATTGTCAGCCTGGGAATAGACATATTAGCTTTTGCTCGAGAGCTGAAACGCCAAATTTAACACAGAAATTTACCAGTCCGTGAAATGTGACCATCTTCCCTCCGGCGGCCTTGAAAGCTCTCAGGTCTGCGTCATTGGTCTCAAGCAACGATGCATATTGTTGAGTGCCTGAGTAGGCGAGCCCGTCAAACTCCTCACGGGTGAGACTCGTCATATCGAGAGACGCATTTTTGGCAACAAACAGTTTAAACCATAAGGTGCCGAGGTTGGATGGCATTCCGGTACAGCCCTTCTCAGTACAGGCCGTCGCGACAATACCGGGTTGACCGAAAGACTTCGGCAGGTTTCCGGTGAGGTCGGATCCAGGTAGAATTCCATGGTAGTCCTTTTTGCCGTCTGCGGTGATCCTACCATGCCATGTGGCGTTGAGCACATTGGCGGCGGCCTTGGTGATGGTCTTTTGGGTACCGTTCAGCTGGGCGCAGGCAGTTGTTTCACCGACGACAGAGAAGGGGTCGAAGGCGTCGAAGCATTTCCCAACGTCGGAGATGATGCCGTCGATGACACCGTCGAGCTTATCGCAAGCAGACACAGCTGCCAGAGTGATGGCGTCTAGCTCGCACATGTACGGCCACTGGCCGAGCTCATTCATAATCTGCTGCGGCCATTGTACGAACGTGACAAGCTTATTCCAGTTGATTGCCGGGGCGCCGGCAGCAATACCGTCAAATGCGGTTGGGTAACGCTGGGCGACCATGAGACCTTGACGTCCGCCCTGGGAACAACCGTTCCAGTAGGAGTACTTTTGGGCTCGTCCATAGAAGCTTTTTATCAAAGACTTTCCGATAAGAGCCTGACAGCAAGAGAATCAGTATCAAGGGCACAGGATGTCAGATCGCAACCATTTTACACTTCAGGGCCTTGAAAGAGCAAAGTGGTGGTTGTATGACATACCTGGTCGTTCAGAGAAATTGATCCCAAGTTTTGCAAATTGTAGAGGTTGACATTGCCACGGCTAACCTGGGCCCAAGAACTGGGTTCCGTTGCCGAGCCAAGGCCCGCATCAGTCGTGATGGTTGCAAATCCATCGGCGAGGGCACCCAGCATAGCATTGTAGCTCAGAAAGAAGCGGCCAGCGACCCAACCCCCTCCGCCAACGGCCATGAAACGCTCATTCCATTCCATCGGCAACCAAGCCTCTGTTACAACGTTTTCATTCTGGCCCGTATGTGTGTACGTAACAGTCACGTTACAGAAAGTAGCGTTCTGGAGCTGAACGGATGGAGAAGTGTAGCGGAATGCTGCAGGGACTGTTGCGCTGTAGTTGGTAATCAGGTTTGCTTCCAAGGACTGGATTTCCGTTCCATAAACGGATGGGCTAAAGGCGCTGGGTACGCAGTTTTGCGCAAGGGAGAGAGCCATTTCTGAATGAGTATCCACCACTTAAGTAGGAAGAGAAGAAGAGTTTGCGATCTGAACAGCCTGAAACAATAAATAGTAGCTGATTCATGCCTGTTATTTCCTCAAGTGCAGTGAAGAGACCCTTATATAGGGAAAGCGATAGATGCAGAGCGGCGGACTTCACTCTTCGAAGACTCCGGTTGCTATGAGTGTTGGAAAGAGAGTGCCCCGCAATCCGCAGTAAGCCCATTGACCATGAATCTGATCTTGGTGAGGCGGTTCTAGTAAACGAGAATCCTCGGACACAGTGTTGTGTGATTGGCCGCGACAAACCATACGGGTCTTAATCATTCATCGGACCCTGACTAGGGAAATCGATTATTGGAGGTCCGGCTGGGCTGCTTTAACGACAGATTAGGTGGAGCTTTGGTAGCTTGCAACAGGTTATTTGTGTAAACATGGCCCAGTCATTGAAAAGCGTCCTTGTAGGGGTAATTGATATACACTTATGGCCACGTGAAATTGACAAAGGGCGACATTGATCGCATTGAAAATGCACACGTCACATCGTTACCTGCTAACACTTAGGCCCAATTGTTTCGCATACGTCGTCGAAGTTGTCCAATCAACGTTCCACTCACATTGACTACTTTCATGGCCCAACCAGTAACGTAAGCAGTACAAGGAAATTTGAATTTCTAATATTCTTGCAGCTTCGGTGGCATGCACAACAATCTTTCCCTTGGCATGGCCTTCTCTTAGCTTGCTGTAAGCGGCGGGCACCCCCTCAAAAGCAAATGTTGCGTCCCCTCCACCATCCAGTCTCCAATGTGCCGAAAATATCGGTGGTGTTCTTCATCTGAACGAAGTGATATTGCTGCCCGCTCCGGATGCTGGGGTAAAGGTGCATGCCAATCATTGCGAACGTCCCAGAAAGGGAGAGAGATTCTCCAACACCCACCATGACAAAAGTGCCGCCAGGCTTCAGGATGATGCTGCTGATCTCATACAGTTCTGAGCTGATCCCTATGTTGTCGATCACAAGATCAAAGAGCTTGCCTTTGCTCTTCAACTCGGCCATGGCATCCTGAGCTCTGTAATCGATTACCTCGTCAGCGCCGAGCTGGCGGCAAAGATCGATGTTCTTGGTGGACCATATGGCAGTAACCTCAACTCCCAGAGCTTTGGCGAATTGTGTTGCCCAGATACTGGTGCCAACACTCCCTCCATTGACGAAAACCTTGCCTTCAGCCCTTAGTGTATCTTTCATAAGTGGTACGCTGTTGTAGCAGCTGTATCGACAGCCGCAGCATGGTCCCGTTCAATGCCCTCTGGCAGGGGTGTGAAGTGTGCCCCTGAGATAATGTATTCGGCCAAGGCCCCTCTCTGAATAGGCCGGAACACGAATAGACCTTTGTTAAATTTCGAATGTCCAAAATGCAGTACTCAATCCATGATTCTGTTTGGTGGAACAACAGTGACCAATGACCAAAATTACAAACATCAACCCACGGTCAAAGAGGACTTGGTGAAGCCTTTTCTCAACAACCGCCACCATCGCCGCCTCCACCTCGTCCGTCACCTCCACAGCCACCACCTCCACAGCCACCACCACCATCACCACTACTACTAGCACCACTGCCTTCGAATGATACGTATGCACCGTCGAATACATAGTACGTCCCCTTTGTGTATGACCTTCTTTCTCTAACTGGATTTACACCACCGAGAATATACTTTGCTTTCGCCCGTGCTGGATGACCTGGTGGGACTACCTCGGCATCAGGAATATAGCCTTCCACAATATCCTCATCCATGGCAAGCTTGTCCGTACACTCCTCATCATACCTCTTTTCCCACTCAAGTCTTGTTTCTGAGAGTATTCTCCTAGCCGCAGTGGCAGAAGTTGTTGGCTCGTAGTCGATAAGTCTTTTTGCAACGGTAAAACTCCAGATCCAGTAGCTGGCGGGGTACAACCGGTATGTGTGCCAAAGCAAGTCAATGACCATATTCGGAGGGACAAATGCGCGATTCCTGGATAGCGTGGTGCCTGAGCTCTCGCGGTAGATGGTGTCCATATTGTGTTCCAAAGGACGGGAAGTTTACTTCCCGTCAGCAGGTCGCCCGGGTAACTTGATGAATCGTCCGTAATCTCCGATCGATTCCTCCATCGTGCTGTCAAAGTTCTTTTGCATATCTCGCGCTTGGATCGTAGCTTTCCAGAATCCAATCTGGCGGTCTAGTGCGTCCCTAAGATCCCGAAGATTCGGCCACATGGTCAGCTCGCACCTTTCTCCAAGCCTGCTATGCATAGCAGCTTTCAAACACGTCTCCCACTTCCTTCTCGTCCTTATTTCTGTCCACTCAGACAAGGTCTACTCGTCCTTTCTAAACGTTGTGCAAAATTTCCCGTCGGCATTGTACATGACGATGGTTGGGTCTTCTTCGATTTGGCTGCTCGGAATTTTGGAAGAGCAGGCTGACCATATGCGCGATTTTCGTTTGATCTCCCATGGAGTGGATCGCCGAAGTTGAAAGAGAAGCTGCAGGCCAACTTTATGTCTGTTAAAATATTCCCATTTCTTCTGGGCCTTTCTGTCCGACCATTTCCCTGATTTGAAAAGATACAACAGACGTGTGAGTGGAAATTGGTTATGGTTGAAGCCGTAACATTTATGCCTATTGTCCCACAAATGACGGTGGAATTTCATAGGCGAGAGAAGATGACAATACCAGATAATTGCAACATCCCTAAGTTCAAATCAGACTTGCATTTTCGAGATCCCATTTCAGGTAAACACTGATCATTGCGGCGGAAAATCATTCGGTGACACTCCGCTGAAGTCGAGAAAACGAATATACCACATATAGCGCCACTCCGAGTGTGCTAGAGCCTCATCATGAACGTTGCCATTCTCGTCTTGTTTGAGGTAAGGAAGAAGTTTCAAGAAGATCTCAATGATCTCAATGTGCCTCTGCCTGCTTGCTAACGCGCACTGTTCTGTGGAACCCTGATAGCGTGGTATCTTACAGCGGCAGCAACGCGAAGCAATATGATGGGCTTGTCTTTTGGCCATGGATCTTCGAACACGGTGATGAGAGCAGTCATGATGCACTGAGTGGTTAACTTCTGATATGGACCTGTGAATCTTAATGCCTGCTTGGAGTACATCGTTCAGAATTTGACGAAGAACGTCTGTCTTTAAAGCTAAGATACATAACCCCTGCAGGGAGACAGCGGCGCAGATTCCGCCCCAATTGATGCTGTGTGCGCCTAATTGCTACACCCGCTAAGCCTGAAATCGATTATCTGCCTCGACACACTTGCACTGAATCAAACTTACGGTAAGATGATTGGGCTAGCGCCCAAGACACTGGTATGCGCGCTGCTCCGATTAGGCCAGTTCAATTCATGCGCATATCGATTAACCTGCGCTGAATGCCCCCAAGGCAGATTCAATCGCCTTGTTTTCGTTCTGCATCAGGTCTCGTTTCCCACGTCGTCTCACTTAAGGCTCAGTGCGCCTTGACGACAATGCAAGTCAAATCAGCTTGGCTGTAACCACCTCGGTTTAGTTCTTCGTCGTTCCGATGTCATCATATCAGTCACATAGCCTTCCCTTTCCTCCCACATTGGACTGCCTCTTTGGGGGTTAAAACGAGTAATCCCAGAAAGTGGCAATATCTACTCTCGTTTCACAAGCATCCAGTTATTCTTCGGATCATCATCTACGTCACCATCCTCTCTAGTACTTTGACTGTCATTACTTTCACAATTGCTCTCACCTCCATCACTGTCAACTCTGCCAGTGATGCTGTCATCATCGCCCTTTTCCAAAGCGAATGTCACACTGCCTTTAATTGCCTTGATAACCACTCAAAGATTTTCTTTTAGTTCCTCTGAAGGGTTGGCCCATGTGTCTTCGTGTTGTCGAACCAACTATCGACGCTCAGAACTCGCGTGTGGGGTTAGTAGGTACCGGTAGATAGGATATAGCCATGATCAATCGCAGAAGGTAGATCTTGTTTGTTATTACTCGGGCTGATTCGGGAGGGCTGAACCCTACAAAGCAAACCTTCCCTTCACTTCGTCGATGGAAACACCATCCAAACCATGGTCTTCGATGATCATTTAAATGGGGAGGTCTTTCTAACACTGGGCGATTGACTCCTGACTCCCTGGAGACCCTGGTGTGAATCTATCGATGAAGATTGTCGTCGCTTGAGCGATTAAGATAAACGCCCCAAGGAGAGAACCTCTTTGGACCGAGCATCTATAAATGGCCTCTAGCTTTTCTGAGGGGAAGAAAAGGGTTTGATGGCAGATGAGTCCTGATGTGCAACGTTGAAGGAATTGTGGCTAAAATGATGACATGATTTAAGTCGTCCTTTCTCATCGAAATGAGCAGACTCGATATTCGTGTACTTACTCTGCTCTTCCTGATACTCTCGAACAATGATTATAGATTTCACATCTAGCCGACAGCGCACCAACTAGCCAGCAAAGCTATTAAATGTTCCTCTACCGCGGACACCACGTTGGACCATTGGGCGAATAAGGGTTCTACGAAGCCCAACTGACAATGTAGACGGTGTCTAATCTAGGGACTGAAACTAAAAACAAAAGGAAGTCTGTGTTTCGTAATAGAACAAAACAAGATGAACGAGATTTGGCGCCGAGAATGACCATTGCGTGAATGTCATCATGGTCTATTGCCGGTGCAGTTGTTCTATGCCGCAGTTGATTGTATGAGATACAATAGTCACCGAACGCCGTGCCCCTGGCTGACCAAAAAAACTCAAAATAAGTGGGAGGAACAGTGAAAAAAAAGAAAGGAAAAGAAGAGAAGAGAAAAAAACAGTTGCATCGTCTCGAACGCAGATGTTGAATTGGCTGCCACGTACTGTAAGGGTTGCCAAGATACGCTTGATGCAACGGAGCAGTCGAGTAGTAGGTGATGCTTCAAGTTTATAAAATCGATGTTCAGAGTGCATGAGGAGCGATACTGTTATCTAAGAATAGGGCAAAAGTTGTCTGGCAGGAATCAAGCCGTAACGCTGCTGCAATCTAGTATTCCTAGGGGTTCATTTCGCCAAGCTGTAGGAGTCGCGGGGTTGCTGGAACCTGGCGGAGGCCGCTTGCAGAGTGGCATCGGTACAGCAAGGAATAAAGATTTAGTTACGGATACCCTCAAATCACAGGGCCGATTTAACCTTCTGGATTGTGCTCAATGCAGCGTCACTCCGCTAATCCGAGCCTTGAAGAAACCCCCACGGAGATGTCCCAGCTTAGGGAAGTGACATTGAAGCAAGTAGGCGGTTGGGTTACCTTGGCTAGATTGCAGATCAATATCTAGCTCCCCTTGCAGGTTTCATTGGTGTGGGCACCAGATCCCACTTTGCTCACATGCGCAGTCTGCCCCTTGATGATGCTGTGCAAGGCTCTGAGCAGGCATCGTATCCAGACCGTCACACAACCAGTAATCAAGAGATGGAATTGGCTTCATCTGCGGCGCTTGTCCGCTGACGTCTTATGATCAGCCGTTTGCACTCAACGGAGTCGGGTGTGTTTCGGCTGGGGAGGAGTCGGTCCGATCGTGCTGTAGGAAGCTGGGCCTTTCGGTAAGAGGTCCTGCGATCCACTAGCAGCCCCCCAGCTCATGTCCGATAATATTTCGCTATCCACCGATCCGGTGAGCACCGATGACATCGGGATGGATCAAGATTGAATTCGGAAGGTCGGTGAACGCCCGAGATTCCTCGGCTCCTAACACCTTATCTTCGGACTTCTCAGGGGAATAAGGCTCTAGCCGCTGCAACCTGCATACAGCCTCAGACCAACAATTGGTCGTTGAGCTCGGTTCTGACCCAGATACCATGCAATGACGGTATTAGTCGCGGGAAGTAATGCCTTCCCGTGCGGGTGGCACAGGCCTGCAAGTCTAGATGAGGCTTCCAGCTTTCACCCACGGTCTTTCGAAAATGAGATAGAAACGATCATTCCGATGCACTCCCAGCGTCCAGAAACATGCTCTAAATGATCATCTCGTTTGTAGTGAGTGCATGATGCAAGTACTATACATATGGCATGGAGCGACAGCCGACTTCCAATACCACGTGCACAAAGCGTTCGATAGAACCCGACGGAGTGCTGTTGACTCATGCCAAATTGATGCAAACTAGTCCTTTTTGGTTGGCACTTGTGCCGAGTGCCTCGGGTGATGAGAACCATGAGAGGATAAGGGCAGAAAGTGCGATTGAAGTGAACGCTCTATCAATAATTGCCTGACGTTGAGTTTCTTCGCTACCGAGACATGAAGACCATAAAGGGGGGTCACTTCGGATGAACCGTACCTAACCTTACTGGAAGTGTCTGCAGGTTCTTGCAGCCAGCCTGCCTGTACGGCGTAAATGTAGTCCGGCCAGGCTCCACCGCAATTCAGCCCAGATCCAGGAGAGCCAAGTTAGAGTTGGTCAGTACCGGTACGTCCCTCCACCCCACAGTCGAGGATGTTCTCTACCCGGAGATCATATCCGTTAGAGACTCGTTGTCCAGTCTCCTTGGCTTTGCCTGTCGGTTGCCTCACCGTAGCGTTGCATGGTCGGCTCTCACGTGTTGCATGAGTTATTGGCATTACTTAGCGACTCACGTGGCAGGTCAATTTTTGGAAGAAATATCTTCGTTAAAGTTCTAGTTTCGCGGCTCCGCCACTAGTTGCGACGTGTCCCGAAGTTGGTCGCGGGAGCAAAATGTATCCGGGAGGTCATCAACTCCCGGAAGTGGGCCGTGATGATTAAGGCCGGTGAAAAGCCCGCGGATTGACTGAAAACACTGAAATGGGACCCCATGTATGAAAATCGGAAATTTTCGCGATGGAAAAGGAGCGGCGGGTACCATTTTCTAATGTTCACAAGCAGTTCGCCTCTCGCCTTCTTTTGACCTCGGAGCAGACACAAGTGAAGAAAGCAATGCATGAGGGCAGTCGAAGAAACTCTCGCTTCGGAAATACGTCATGTGCAAAATTGGTAGGTAGCATTGGAGTGTGATCGAAAATGTGACCTACCTGTTGGGACCTGCAAGCGAGGTCTATCCTTGTTTTCCAAGAAGAAAGTGAATGGAAACTTTTACAAGACACCGGATGATTCAAGCATAGCACACCGTCAAATGCAAACAACAGACGAACGAACCAGAAGATCAGTGAGGAAAGTAATGCCAACGATTCTGAGAGCCTTCGCTGCAGCCATTGGCTCAGACCTCGCAAAGTAAGTGCGTAACATGGTAGCAACAACAGGAATGATAAATCTAGGATACAGCTCACAAGTTCCTATCGTCTGCGACTGCCTGATCCTGAACAGTGTCGGAAGTCGGCCGAACCACTCAGGTCCCAGAAGTCTCTTGTTCGGCGAGAGCTGTTTGGTCGCGACATTGGACTCTCCTAGTGGTACCGGGCTGCTGCATTCCAGACCTTTGGGACTCGCTTCCGAGAGTTGCGCCCAACAATGTCACCACCCGCGCGCTTGTCCGAGCCCCACTACGCTGGCTGGGCCCCGATGTGCTAGTACTATCCACTCTACGTACGACTACTTGGCTCATTACTTGGCTCAATTATTATTCAGCCGCGGCGGCGCCTTATTAAGCTGGCGAATTCACCTCCGAGGCGAGTCAGTTACCCGTTCCACCCTAGGATGCCATCAAATGCCAGGGAAAATAAGAGAATGACACAGGGGCAGAGGCACAGGACGAAAAAACGTGAAACTAGCTCCATCCTCGACGGCTTCCATCAAATTGATACATTGGACCGTTAACGGCACACGCCGGTCCACCCTACAAGATCTGATAACGGTCTTCGCCCCGAATAAGGGAGGCGTTGCTGCACCATTAAGCTTGGCAGCGGGTCGACAATGTCTATCTGAGTTTGAGCCATCGCTGCCATCCCTCCGTTGCCCTCTTTTGAGAGGCCAGTTTAGCTTCCGGATTTGGGGTTGGATTGACCCGCATTACCAAAATTCTTGGGACAACCGAGTGCCCCCTGACTTGAATTGGACGAATAAATCGAAATGCCACCCGCCAAGACCGACTTTCCCCGGCTGCAGCCACTTTCGAACTTTGACGTCTTCATGCAGAGAGTCCTTCCATTGCCATCTCAACATTGAACGGGGCTGCCATACCATTTTACGGAAGTTTCCTGGTACTCAATGATACCCATGGCGCACGTCATGGAGCTCACTTGGATATTAGGGAGGCTGCAACCTCTTGGCACGCTTGTCGAACCGAATGCGGATATGAGCAAGGAGGCTTGGAGTGATGCAATAGGTCAGCAAGGTACAGGTGAAGAAAACTTGGTGAGGGTCGACGATTAGTTAGTTATTTGGAGAAGAGAAAATTTAGACTTATAGGGCGCCGCTCCCCCAGGCGATCAGTCTATCTCGTTCATCGCACATACGCTCATTGTCTTCACTCACTACTATTCACTCCTTACTTGACAACATGCGTGCTGCTATCATTTCTGCCCTCGCGGCTGGTGCTGCTGCCACTCGCCCCTTCATCAACGAGCCCGACACTGGCATTGAACTTGCCCTTGGTGACCTCGCCGTCGGTGCTCTGCCTGACCTCAAGCAGATGGTTGGCCTTCCTGACTTTGAGTACGCCGCGCGCAACTACCTCCCTGCCCGCAACTACACCTACTACCGCAACGGTGCTGCTGGTGAATGGTCTTACCGCAACAACCTAGAGGTCTTCGGCCGCTACCGCCTTCGTCCCCGTACCATGGTTGACATCACGAACATCGAGTCTACCCTGCCGTAAGTCCAGGCCATTGTTTAGGTGAACTCCAGTTCAGGTTCAAGATGCTGACTTACATAGTACTACTATCCTCGGACACAACTTTTCTGCCCCTATCTTCATCAGCCCTGCTGCCCGTGCTGATTACGCTCACGTCGATGCTGAGCTCAACCTTATGAAAGCCGCTGCTGCCGAGAACATTCTTTACATGCCGGCTCTCTACGCTGCCAAGACTATTGAGCAGATCGCCGAGGTTAAGGCCGAGGGTCAGGTCGCCTTCCAGCAGGTGTACCTTACCTCCAATGACACCGCCACCCAGATCCTCTTCGACCGCATCAAGGCCTCTGGCGCCAACGGCATTGTCTACACTGTTGACTCCGCCGCCGATGGCAACCGTCACCGTGCTGCCCGCTTCGGTGTCACCTCCGCTGATTCTGACTACTCCCTTATCACGTGGGATGAGTACCGCAAGCTCTCCAGCATGACTGACCTCCCCATCATCATCAAGGGAATCATGACCGTTGAGGACGCCGAGGCTGCCATTGAGAATAAGGTCCCTGCTATTGTCCTCTCCAACCACGGCGGTCGCCAGCTCGACGGTTCCCCCTCTTCTCTCGAGGTTGCCCTTGAGATCTATGAGAAGGACCCCGAGATCTTCAAGAAGATCGAGGTCTACGCCGACGGTGGTGTCCGCTACGGCGCTGATGTCCTCAAGCTCCTTGCCCTTGGTGTTAAGGCTGTCGGTCTTGGTCGCCCCATCATGTTTTCCAACATTTTCGGCCAGGAAGGTGTTCAGAAGGCCATTCAGCTCCTCAAGCACGAGATCGCCATCGATGCCGGTAACCTCGGCGTCCCTGATCTGAAGAAGATTGATGCTAGCTACGTAAGTAAAACTCTGTACTAGTTGTTGAGTTATGCAGATCATTAACAACATATATAGGTCAAGTGGACCCCTAACAACTGGTACTCTTAAATGTTTCGCCAGTGGCCCCAGCGTATCGAGGCCCTTGTTCCGGATGCGCGCGTTATAGGAAAATACGACATGGCTGTACACACTATTTCTTTTTGAGGTGCACATAGTGTTTGACTGCAAATCGATACCCCTCAAACAAATCTTTAATTGCATCATAGACAGACAGCACTGTCGCCTTCCAAGATACCGCGGACTATGTGGTGCTGCGGCATGAAATTCTTTAAAACTTGTGAACGTATGTGTACTTATGATTACCAGTGTTTCAGCCTTGGAAGTCGTGGACACCATTTACAGCTTGAAGCTGAGCCATGTGCTTTCACAAGCAGGGAGATACTCGGTGCATCTCGGACTGGAAACTAGGAACAGCAGTCCAGTAGTACAGAAGAAAACTTTGACAACAAATCTGATTCACACTTCCACCTTGGAAACCTCAACTCGAAGGACTTGATTGACTCTAACCATGCACATCACCATTTTGTTCGTCCGGGTCTGCGCTAAGTGCGGTAGGGCACCAGCTGTCATTAGATTGTTATTGTCGACAGCAAGAAGGCATCACGAAAACAGTAAGATGCTACGAGAAAGACCGAAAAGAGTCTTAGTCTACACACAAACACACACATAGACACATATGTAGATAAAAAAGATTCTAAGATACTTCATAAGAGAACAAGAATCAATATAGGAACCCTTACCCCACTGTTACCATGCCTAATATTGATTCGTAAATATGGTTAGACTTGGGCAAGACCTCGAGTAGCACTTCCAGCTTCGGAACTCGGAATTTGATAGCCGAGGGAAAGACGGAGAAATTCATGAAGTTGTTGAGACTAATGTCGAGAAGGGCATTGATAACTTGCCTGCCTGCCAGAAGATCTCGGTCTTAAGCATCCGCAAGCAATAACGTTTTTATTTCATCTAAAGCAATAGAAGCCATTTCCCAAAAGTTGATGGTAAATTTCGAGTTTACGGAATTCTGGTTGGAGCTTTCTTTTGGCTAATACCCCGAAGCTATGAAGTTTTGTAGTCAAGTAACTAGATGGAGAAGTATAAGGGCTGAGAAAAGAGTCGAGCACGGCTCGGTAGGTTTCATAGTTCCTTCTATCCAGGCGATCTTTGCAAAATCATCTGAATCCATCAGATAACCCGAAACAAGTCATCGCTCATCATCAAGAATCATGATGAGACTGTTGACTAACAACAGCATGCTCTCGTCGTCTTGCAATAACACAATCATGCTGTAGCAGGGGCACTTCCATGATCTTCCTCTGTTTCCACTGGTTTGCGACCGTAAACCACATGCCTGTCCGCCAAGTTAGTCTCCATGCAACTATTGATTCACAACTGCTTTACTTACAGGTAGTAAAGAGGTGTGTTCTTGGGATTGCGCAGCGCAGCTCTCAGCTCGGCTAGCGTGACTTGAACTTCCTCGTACGTGAAGCCCAGTATCTCTTTGAGCAGAAATAAACCGAATCCCTCGATCGATTGCTCGAGAAAGTCCAAAGTACAAATTCCAAGTCTCTTCATCTCTGGTTTAGCAGGCCAAGGTCCAATAGGAATAGGCCATTTTCGCTCAACTACATCAACGTAGCCAGCGTTGACCATGGCCTTCGCAAGCTTACGGTCAACCGCGTTGCCATGCGGCTTTCCCAACTTGGTCGAAGAAACCAGCATGTGCTGGTGCCACCTTTTAAAGATGTGATCTTCGTCTAGTTCTCCAAGAGTCTGCGAGCGAACCTCAATGTCAAACTCTAGGATCTCGAACCATCCTCCTGGCTTCGTGTAGGTAAAGCATTGCTCAAACAGTCCTGGCAAATCCGCAATGCAACCTTCGAGGTTTCGGGCATGGATGAAGTCGAAATTTTCGTTAAACGTCCATTCCTTCTCGAAGTCATCAATTTGAAATCTGCAGTTCGGAGGTACCCATGCAGGCTGAATAGGGGAAATGTCAACGCCGATTACATTTGCCGATGGGAATGTATCAGCGAAATCGCTTGAGAACCATCGCTTAGCTGTTGTACAATTGTAGAATGTTTCTCTTGACTCACATGGCCCAGATTCCAGTACCGGTGCCGATGTCCAATACGTTCTGAACACGTTGTCAGCAAACTAGCAGGCCAGTCTGGGGCATTGAAGGCTTGCTTACTTGTGGACTATCGCCAATCGGAGCTAAGAACAATTTGTTGTCAAGGAAGTCTGTAAGCCAGTAATGACTATATTATCGTATTTCCCGTGAGAAAATGGTCCGCCGTAGTATAATCGTGAAAATTGAAACTTGAAACCCACTTGAAGTCCAGAGCATCATTTTGCTGTTCATCGTTGGGCCCCCAATACTCCGTCTTCTGGGTGAAACTCCGCCCGTGAATTTCGCGATACTCCCGGACACTGTCGGTGACTGATGCTGTAGAGGATGTGAAGACACTGGAACAGATTTTAGCCAGTAATACCACGGTCAATAGCTCACACTCTAACCTTTGAGTGTCGGTAGAAGCATCAGAGTCATCGACTGCGGGATCCTGGGAGAATGAAAGGTTAGTACGGATGACAATGCGCTACCAGAAAAAGGTACGACGCACGACAGGCACTGGAGCGACTTCTAATTCTGGTGTCTCTGCCGGAACGGAAGCAGCCGCTGGCTGTGCCGTGCTGGGGATATGAGCGACGGCCGACTCCGCCGCGTCTGCCGGGGTATTCGCCGTTGACTGAACTGTGTTATGACCGGGATTGCTCGACATCTTCGGAAAGAATTGAACCGCTGAATTCTCGAAGGGAATCAAAGAATTGGAAAGTGAGGAGAGATTTTCTCGGTTGGAGGGGGAGAAACCCCTCCTTTGTACTGGGATGTTTGTGTTGTTTGGTCTCCGAGATGCAAGACCTGCATCCTGCAGACCAGGATCGAGTCGTTCAGGGGTGACAGCAAATCCGACTCCCCGAGCCAATGAAATACCTCGTTTTCTCCCACCGGAGGTAGGCTATGGCCATTTACGGCAGGACGAAGTTGAATATCCACCGGAGACAGACAATTGGAACAGGCTGCATCTGCAGGTTTTAAATAATCGTTGGCAGGAATACTCAGCAGCATGTATCGCCCACAACACCCTTCAAAGTGACGAGCAGTTACAATTAACCATCACAATCTATTTTGGTCTCCTTTTATGAACATCACTGCTCATTGTAATGTACAGAACGCTTTTACATATTGGTACGGGTTTTCACACAGCAGCCTACGGTCGAGGCTACTTCAAGCATAGCAGAATGAAAGCCCCTCGTTTACTATTCCAGCCCGGCTTACTAGATTTCCCACAGAAACTGTACCCGCCTAAGGCGCATTCGACTGCTGCGCGTTGTCTATCTCCCTAAAAGAGTTGAGGAATCATTTTAAAGCTTATTGTGCCCTGATTTGGGGCTTTCATCTTTCGTGTTGTCTTTGAGAAGTTTGAGGGCATGCACAGGTTACGGGGTATCCTGGTCAGCATTCGTCACTCTTGAGTTAATAGATCGTCAAGTGCAAAGCCAATACTTAAGACAACGAGGAAATTACAAGTGGTAGACAAAAATTCAACTCCTTTACTTCAAGCCCACTACTAGGCTTCAAATGATCGTGAACGTGTGTGTTCGTTAAGTCCAGAAACAGCCTTCGAGGTTACGGTCGTCTGCGAGACAAGGAACACATCTGGCCAAGTCCATTCCTTTTCAAAATAGTAGTGAGATGAGTGCAGATTGTGAAAATTGACATAGAGTAATTGAACATCTTGATCGAGGACTAAGGATAGGTTCACCCTTTGAGTGTGATGAGCTCTGCCCTAGCAATTGACGTTAGCAAGAAGAGAGGCTCCTGCCGCCTGTTCGGTGGCTGCTTCACCAGGGCATATAATGTTGCAAACGACTGCACAATACTAACAATGAAACTTTGTTTCCGCGCGAATACAATGAGTGAGTATTGAGAAGTATGAAGCCACCCAAAAATCCTGTAGAGAAAGTTGGAAATGCCTCCAAGCTATATCAGGAAGGTCCCAATCGTCTGTGCCTCTGCCCAGAGACAATCGACTAGAATTTCGTTTCGACAAGTGGGCTCGAAAATGAGTTGGCCAGGCGCCGATGCTTGATTGCGGCAACATCAAAACGCAGACCAAGGAACGACTTGGTGTGCATTAGCTCTATCGAATATCCAATTGCGCATCTGGGTGTTTACGACCAAGCCGGGTTGTCTGAACAATTGTATGTATTGTCAAATGAAGCTTTTGGGGCACGCTCTTTCAAGGAAAGCACATGGCTGGCGCGAGATTCATTTTTGGACTATGAATCTAGCTAAAGCCACGCAGGACAACAATGAGAAGACCTGAAAAGTTTGTTTGCATGCATTGAAGGAATGTAACCTTTCTTTCCGGGGCTTGTCCAGCGATTTAACCGCATTCCTTACATAACATTGTCATCAAGGAAATCTGAACATCACAGCCGCCGTTTATGACCAACTAGACATATAATCGCTGGATCTTAAAACAGTATTCGACATTTACCCTTAATTACCAGATAGTTCTCTCAAGACCTTTGAGCACTGCCTTGAAGATTAATCAAGCGACCAGCGCTGTGATTGAAAATTTGTGCTAAGTTACATTGAAGCAATAGATCATTTGCATTGAATGTTGCTTCTTCTTTCCGAGTGAATACAGACACTTGGTATGGTTTTATACAGAAGAATGTACTAAACACAGGGCTCATTACATGCGCGATGTACCAGATGGTCTTCATCGACAATATCCCCCAGTTTCGAGTACAGAATCCATCAAAACAAAGCTGTTTCATCCAAAGAACAACAACGAATTTTAATCTTAGTGCTTCTAAGTCACTTGACTATCAATATAGTTGCCTGAGGTCTGGTAAGTGCCCTTTTCAACCTTGTAGCCCGGGCAGTATCCTGGGGTTTGACGTTGACTGGAGTATTTCGACAGGGTATTCCATTCCTAGGCGACACAGTCCAACATGTCCAACACCATTTTATTTCTTCAAGCCAAGAAGATCATAGACTCAGTCATCGCATTCATCATCAATGAAAACGTATCATACTACTGATCTCATCGAACGCTCCGTGACTCCGCAATCCTGCCGTATAAGTGGTTTCAACTAGGAAAATTTATGTCTCAATTGCGGCGCGGCTGCAGCAGGCTTTGTACGCGCCTAAGGCTGTGATTCTTCCCTAAGCTTGCATAGGCTGTATGCGTCTAAGACTGAGACAAAATACCACGATGTGCATCATGTGATGTTTGTGGAGAATCATGCTGTTAGTTTTCAGTTGTGTGGCTGCCTTACGGGCATGGAGCCTAAGACTTTTTAGGGACATGCCCACGCCAAGTAGCGAAGCAGACGACTTGATTGGTTTGTTATTTGACGAGTTATTCCATGTTTCCTGTAGTATAAAGACATCAAGGTTGGAAAGCTCCTAAACAGCAATGTGAGTGGCAACGCAATTGATAATAATGGTATTTAGCCCAAATTTGGTGATAGAGAAGATGCAGAACGTCCATCGACGCAAGTGGCCTAGTGCTTAATATAAGTAATGGTCAGAGTATGTGGCCAGAGTATTATCAAATAGTAAGGGGGGGAAGTGGTTAACTATTGCAACAATACACCGTCACCGGAGCCTAGTTCGACAAACTTATACTCCGGAATTTTGCATCGCATCCTTATTTCCTCTGCATCAACTGCTTCCCTCAAAGTGTACTGTGTCCGTAAAAGCATAGGAGCTATAAAGCCGGTGCCCTTCTTCGGCTCATCATGTGTCGCAACCCAATAGCGTGCGTTAGTTACGCCAACGGCTTGAATTCCATTCATGGCCCCAAGATTCAGTTGCTTGGTCATCCAAATACGAACGTCGTGGAGGCCGTGCAGCATTGCCAATGTAGAGAAACCAGACTCTCGAACACATGCTAAATCGGATGCCTGGATGCCATGAGGAGAGTACAGTATCGTTTCCGGATTCCCGAGATCGAACGCGACCATGATTGCGGAGTGGAAATACATAGCGTTCCCACTCGTGACGACGCGTCCGATGCCAACCCAAGAAGGCAACCCCGCGATGCTCAGGTCAGTTGTCCAGTCCTTGGTCGCCGATGAAAAGTACGGAATAGTGGTCACGGTGTTGAAGTGCTTCCATGACCGGATCAGTCGGGCAGCCTTGTCGGGAGCAAAAACCGGAGTTGAAGGGGGAAGCTCTTTAAGAGTTGGCTGGTGGCAGTGATCGGTGAACTCGTGTGACATGGCGACCAAATCAACGTACGAGCTGTTTGTTACCTTTGACCCTTCCGCACCCTCCTCAAGGCCCGCCAGTATCGAGTTGAGCTGATCCATTGTATTCACGCTAGGCTCAACGACGTGCCATTGCGTCGAAAACCATGACGCGACGTCGGTTTGTGGACCCTGCAGCCATGGATCGAGAAGGATATTGAATCGTCTCCGACCAGAGGGCGGAGTGATGGAAGGCGGGTACGGCAATTGAATGAGCCACGTCGTGTCTGCGTTAAGGTGGATGAGAACGGGTCGGTCGGTCCTAAGCGCTTCAAGCCATGTGCTCCGGTCGCTGACTTTGATTGTTTGAGGATTTCTTGGTGAAGTGTGGTCGATGGTCATGTTGAAAAGTTGATATTTTGTGGCGGCACTAACAGAAACCAAATGATCAAAACAAACGGTGATGTCGAATTCCTGAACGATTGTTGAGTGATCGAGGTTGGACTTGGACCAAAAGTCTAAAGTCTGTGACGTAGTTTGCACGGCATGGAGCCCTTCCGTCACATCCCGGTCCTAGCTACCATCGCATCGCTATTGTCTGTAGCTAGCGCTGAATTCGATGTCACGTCCCACTTCTCGTGCGAACAGTGAGGATCCAAGGAGTCTAGACTAGAACCACAGTTTCCGTAAGTCGCTTTGGAAGCCACCTGCAAAATTTTGGTCGAACTCATTCATAATGCCAGCCGGTAAATCAAGTGCTCCAACCCGACGGTATGCACGCAACCTTGGCTGACAAGTCACGTTCTCCGTAGGCTCAACCAGAAGAAAAAACCAAAAAACTCTGTTGCCTTGCGCTATACGAGAGCTGAATTTTGCCGGTCCTATCAGAAGCGCAGAGACCTTTCGTCTAGGTGTTGAGATGGTGCGTAACGCCTCGCAGTCCTCGGCTTCATGGTCTGCCCTGCAGCGGCATTTGACGCCTGGATCAAAATTGGTCGGTCGTGCAAAGCCCTTGGAGCGAAGTGAAACATAGAATCTCTTGTCCGTTATCCATTTAATTTGATACTTGAGGAAATTGCCGTTTTTTAACCGTAGTGAGAAACCTAGTACGAATGATCAATTTGACCGATTTTGCATTTTTCGAATCATTTATCATTTCGATTCGTGCACAAAGCTCTCGGAGATTGTATACAAATGTTGAATCAGGGGCAAAGCTATTTCGAGGCCACCTGAACGCCAGCCAAGGTCCATAATGGAAGATCTATGTCCAGTAGAGGTGACGGTGTCGGGTCCGGAGTCCACGAGACCAGCTGTTCGACAAGACACTCTTCTCTTAACTCAAGTAAAGTTTGCAGGCCAGAAACCGCAGTATACCTTTCTGCAACCCCGGAGAACGCAAAGTGTCTGTATTTCGGATCACCCAGTTTGATCTCACCAATGACCAGACAAGTCGTGCCTAATTCTCGTGATATTTTTCCGGCCCGATCTTGCTTGATTTCTGGACGGATAGAAAGCTAGTCAGATTCTGATTAGTAAACGACTGCCATCCCCCTAGTATTTCTATGTCGCCTTCTCTGTACATCAACAATAATGTTCTGGTGTCGTCGAGGCCTAGGTCGAGGTTATTTTGCCCCCCCAGACAGTAAATCAATGCGACGTATTTGGGGTCCCGGCCTTCTGTGTTTTCTAGTCTTACAAACCCCTTTTCTTAACATTGAGAAGTCTCTTTGACGAAGGCTTGTGTCTGAAGTTTGGACAAGCACCATGTGTGGTGACATATTCCTTCAAAGCGTGGTGTAGTTTTCCCACGTTCATTGGAGACAAGATATCTAGTGTTATAGATTGTCGAGAAGTAAGCCTGGTTCAAGTCGATAGGATACAAAATGCTGGCAGTTTTTGCGTACCTTGGAAGCTTAGGACCCGAGGACTGAAAATAAACGAAGACCCATGAGACGACTCATACTTGATATTGCAGCCTCCAAAGGTCTCTGGCAGTTTGGCCTCGTCATCTATCTCGACCCATGAGATGCTCAATTTGTGTTGTTGGGTTGGACTGTTGGTGTCGCTCGCGAAATACTACCGCCTTGATCCAGAGCCCTGATTGTTCCAATGTGTATGAAGCATCTGGTGTAGAAAGGCACACCCCCGACATCCTCGAATGGCACTTTCTGCAAGCTTAGGAAAGCCCAGATTTCTGTCCTTAAAGAGCCATTGAGCTCGTTGGCTTGGGTCAATTACTCGTGCAACGTAGGGGGTCTCCACCGCGACCACGAAGTCCATACAGAAACGGCATTTCTCAAGCGGCGCGCTTGCCGAGGAGTTTGTGGTAGCAAGACTGATAGTGATTATTGCAGGACGAAGTTAGGGTAGAGCCAACGCTAGCTGGGGTGGTCGAGAGAGGAAAGGAATGCGTACATTCGTTCGTAAGGTTACAAATAGATTGCGGTATGGCAACTAGTGGCTTTGGGTGCTCCAATGCCACGTTTGAACAATTCACAGCTGCAAATGCGGTTTTGCGTATGAGGAGGAAGATATCATCGGTCTTATGTTGCGTTGCACCTTACGCCTGACTGTCAGCAGCAGCCGCCACACGCAATCGACCAGGTTTCCAGTTAATTCTGTAAGCTTGCTCTTGGCTCACAGAAGAGAAACAGCCGCACCAAGCAGTGGCTGAAGAGAGTGCCATGGGAGTTACGATATTTAGACTCATGCGACCAAGATTTTGGAGGAAAATTGGAAAATGATGTTGTCAATTCTGAATATCTATGCGGCGCCTTTCCTTGGCGGCACCCCCTTTATTTCCATCTCGTACAAATCCCACAGCGAGCTCAGTGTCATTCGACCACGAGCACACAGCTGTTTTAGCCAAATATAACTCCTGGAAAGCAAGAATGCTGTGAAATCGTGCGGTTCTACAACTGAAAAAAAATACTGGGCTGGTGAGGGCCAGTCCGTTTGGGGGCGCATCTGCCTCGCCAAATGTCACAGTCAAGACCCAACGGCGCGCGGGGATCTCCTATGCGGACCTGCTACGAGCCGTCACCCAGCATCATCCAGGCGTTGGCACCGTCGTGATTCGCAGCATGCAGTTCGCGGTTTCCTTTCCGACGTATCTTACATGCATTGTCTTTGGGGAATGAAATCGATTCGGATTCGGACTCGGAGTCTGTCATCATGGTGAGGGTGTTGTCGCTAAAATACTCAGGGGAGTGCACCAGTTCAGAGACGAAATGCAGGGGTGCAAGTCGGGCGCTGTAGGTGCTGTTGGTGCTGTTGGTGGATTCATCATCCGAGGAGGGCTCTTCAAGACCGGGGGAACAGAGAAACTGAGCAAAGGGCTCGTCGTGTCCAAGTTCCGCAAGCGAAAGGTCCAGTGCCAGTTGCAGGTCGTCGTCGTACGGGACCCCTGAGGGCTTGGTCTTCCGTGTCTGCTTGGCCTGACGTATGGTGTACTCGGGCTCAGTACGGTCAATGGCATCGAAGCCGAAACCAGGACCGCGCAGATGCTCGTCGTCATAGAGAAGACCGACGCGATAGAGCTCGGAAATGTCGCGTGCATCTTGTGGACTAGTGAGAAATTTTGTTGTGCGAGCATCCCGGAAAGCATCCTGTCTCTCCAGAGACGGCGTGCGACGACGCTGCTCGCCAGGGAGTTGTTGCCCACTCAGGGCTATTGTACGACCCTCTGCCACATCGCCAATGCACCATTGCCGGGTAGAACGACCGATTTGGCGACGACGTGCTTGGCGATGCCTTTGTGCTCCTTTTTGGTGGTTGGTGAGTAGAACGAGATCGAGAAGAGGGAGTTTGTGCTCGGCGAGCTCCCGGTTGAGAACGATGGAACCATCGGCGTGGTAGTAGGCGCCATTGTAGTGGGCGCGCTGGTGCGGCCTGCTGACCTGCGAGGGGCCGGGGGACAGGTACCGCTGGGTGAGGTCTAGGGCATCGGAGCTGTTGTGTAGTGCTAAACCCATGTTGGGTGGTAGGGTGGTTTTTGTATCTCGGTGATGTGCGTCGGTTTTTAGGGTGTAAGTGAGGAAGAGGGCAATGTGTCCCGAGAAGTACGTAGATAAGATGTGAGTCTTCGGCGAGGCGTAAATGTAGACGCAAAGGCGCACGCGGGGGCTCGGCTGGTGTTTGGTTGTGTGTGTGTCTGACGAGACTGATGGAATGTCGGCGAAGGGGAGAGAGATATATATCGCAATGAGATGCCTGTTGCTTGCTGACGATGCTGATGATGTTGGCTTCAGTAAACCAGGCTTCGTGTAGGCTGTAACACGTAGGCGCTTTCGACACCCCTGTGTATGGTCGTCCGAACCCGTTCCCGAGGCCCTGGAGTCAACAGTGTGAAAGGACGTAATGGTGGGTTGCAAAGGCCAGTGATTGGGCCCCGGTTCGTTGATGGAGAATGAGTCATTCTTGGCGATGATGGGGGCGCAGCGCGTGTTGTGCTACCTGGCAGGCTGACAGGGCAAACTGCCTGCTGTCGTCTAATCGCTGTCGTTTGCCTTGTTTTGGATTCGGCTTAACCGTTGAAAAGCACCCAACAGGGACTTCACTAAGCATCATGTGGCCTTGGAGACAATGAATTTCTCCATATGGGCGAACGGGTGGTTTCGGCGAGAAATCGGACGGTGTCCTGGGGAAGCACTGGTGGCAGGCCTCATGAACCGAGTTTGACGTATGCATAAACCCTGGTAACAAAGGTACCCAATTGAAACCTAGCGCTGGAACAGGATAAGTGCAGCATGCAGACACACGCGACGGATGAATCATAATGAACAGCATATTGAGCCTGCGAACTATTCCTCCGATGCTCAGACAGGATTGGCTTATTCTATTGCTTTTCCACCGTTGCTGCCGTTAAGGCCCATAACGATTGGTTGACTCACAAAGGAGAGTCCGGGTAGTCAACTTTGTTTGCTGCATCGGTCGATACCTGACCCTTGCCGCGATGCTGCCCTGCGATGACTCCCTACATCTCTAGTGTCATTAAGCACGGCAGGTTTTGGACAGAGAGTATTTTGGTTTCCAATTCAGATTCTTGATTGGACGATTGATAAGCAGTAATCTGATTTCACATGAAAGCTGGATTGAGTGACTAGGAGAGAAAAGAGACCAACGCGTGCACCGTTGCGTTGTCATGCCCGCTCATGGGATGAAGATGTTACCTGGCCTTGTTCATGTCTCATAACAGCGGCGTTAATTACAACGTCGGCAAGTTGAGACGTAGAGTCGACAATCACAGAATCACAACGAGACACTGCCAAGTAACCTCAAGTAACACGAAATGCCCTGCTAAGCATTCAATAGACTATTGCTAACTACATCATAGTGCTATCCCAACCTTCGGCTCATCATTGTCGCTGGGACGCCTGGAGCTCGACGCTGACGGCATCCCTATCGAGTCGGATCGATAAGAAATGGTTTCCGCAATTGACATCTTCGCCGGCCTGTCACTAAAGGCCTCTGAGTTATGTCGCGTACGGCTGACGGATGAGCCAATGTTTGATGCCACCGTAGTCGTCAGCTGTGTCACCTTGGAAGGGATCATCTTCAATAATTGCCAAGCGTTGGGCATGCATGCTACGACGACGCCCACGCCTAGTTCAACGTAGGCCCAGAGAACAACAGCTACAGAATCGGCTGTGAATCGCATCAGAATGAGGCTCTGACCAGTATCGCAAAATTAAGCTCGTCCAATGCACTTACCGGTAATGTTCAAAGATGTTGCAAAGGCACTCATGGTTCTGATTCGTAAGATGCTGACGACTGTGAGGCTAGTGTAGGGTTGATTAGCTTGTTGGTTATACGTCGTTGCATTGGAATCTCGGAGTACTCACAAGATACCGACTTGAAACATCGCTATCACGCCAATCTTTTTCCTCCTGTCCATCTGCAGCTTGTAGATCTGCGTGACCGGCAAGATGAGCATAAAAATATCAAGCAGAATATTGAGCCCGACGTGAGTAAGCCCAATCCTGTTCAAGTCGAGGCATTTGCCCTCGTGCTGGCCGTCCCAACCCGTCCAGAAATGCGTAAATGGACGGCATTGAGCGAAGCAGAGAATGACAAAAACTATGCAGACCAGCATGTTCAGGCACTGCAGAACCCAAATAATCGTACGGAAGCGTCTTTCGGGAAAGATCTTGAGAAAGAAGAACAAGATTGATGCTTTGATCACGGCCAACCCAATGAGGTAGAAGAATTCGAGGATGAAGAGGAGCTAGAGATACAGTCAGCATAACCGGCGGCCAGGAGGCTGGTGCAGACTACCTTGAGAAAATGTGTGATCTCATAATCTCGTAACGTCCAGATGTCATGCCCAAGACCTGCCTCAGCAACTATGTTTGGACCCATTAGCGATCAGGAACACCGTGGTCCGCCTTGCCTTCATGTTCACTCACAGTAAAATGACTCGACATACAAGCCAATAATCAAGGCCTTCATCCACCATGTCAGCCCATGAAAAAAGCATCATAACAGTAGCCCATAGGTTTTCTCACAAATGCGACGGTAGCGACTGTATCATCAGCGCCCCATACTGATAGCTTCGCGACCTTGGTCGTGAGTCTCATCGCCATGAAGACGGTTGCACAAATAGTGACGACACCGCTGACCCAGCGGATCTTCGTCGTCTCGTCGGTGTAGGAAAACCCGCACAGCGACCAGGTCGCATTCGTGGCAACTGTAGTTCTCTTAGTACATGCTCATTGTTCCAGGATCACGTTACCCACCAAGGCTCTCTCTGATAGTGCATAGCGAACGTGTGCAGGGTTCGACGGCGGCAATGAAGTTCGAGTCTGCGCAGAGACAAGCTTGGTCGGTCGCTGAGCAAGTTGTCTCCGGAAGCGCTTGTATCATGCAATTGACCTGTAGAAGGCAAGTGTCAGCGTGATAGAGTGCATCGAGGGCTCTTTGAGAAAGGGAGCCTACAGCGCAGCTCGGAATACCCTCTAGACTTAGTTGTTTTACAGCTGAAACCAAACCATAATAACTGCCTAACAGAAGAACGAGCAAGCGAGGTGCCAACATCTTGCTTGCTTGAAACGCGGCTTGCCAATGAAGCTCAACGTGACACTCGAGCAAGGGTTGCTCGTTGGTGTTGCAACAAACCGGTGACAAGTTTGCGCAGGTCGAGGGATATCAGACAGGAGAGGGTACAGCAGCACTGCGTCAATTGAAGTACATCAGGGGCCACTGGATGACGGAAACAGACAATGCATCAAAGGGTAAGGCCAGACTGGCCGGTCTCACAGTGTCTCACCTGTCAATGTAGCTACCGATCAGCTTTCGTCCCAATGCCGTGGAGAGGCAAGCCAGGGACAGAGATCAGTGGCAGCGTGCTCTTGGCACTTCTAAGCTTAGCTCGATATGGCTAGCGGGAGTCATGCTTATTGGCTCCAGCTGAAGGCGATCCTCATTGTTCAAGGGCGGATTAGGGTGAGACCTGTCTCTGGCGTTATCGATGAAGGGATGTAGGGGCAACGATGATTTAATTGCGAAATCTGAAATAGGAGTTCGAAATGAATTTGGCTGGGACTACTAGAAGTCTATATATGAAGCAAGCAGTGGTTCGAGTAAAATGCACCTTTATCGGCACTATTTTGCAACCTAGGTTGACTGGACATTGGTGAACGACTGGGCTTGATGAGAGATCGTGACTTCAATGAAGCTTGGCGACGTTAGACCACTTATCTTGCAGTAGGTATGGAAATTATTCCAACCCTGACCCAGCAGGCAGGCAAGGGGGAAGTAGTGGCAAAGCGAAAAGTGATTGCTTACTGTTTGGAATCTGGAGCCGCCCGACGGGCATTTCCTGATAACCAGGAAAGTCCAGCAGTCTCCCACTGCCGATCTCACTTTTAGATCTCACTTTTGTCATCCGTGGTCCGGATGCGACCAAGCATTGACCATCTAACATACAGCTTGATCGCATTCGGCAATGTTTTTGCCAATGACGGGCCTGTCTTGATCTTGAGGACGAAACCAGTCGATCGGACATGTTCTGGAAGCTCTGCTGATTTGGCATATCGGGACCAATTCACTTCTTGTTTCTCTGCCTTGGGGAACAATTCAGGAATCCGCGAACTAGCCGCCAGGTCATGGCCTTTAACTCAGTGTTTTCGACCATGCTACGGAGATCAATGGTAACTTCCATTCTCTCCACTGTACCACAGATCACCATGCGCGCTCCGACTGTTGCAATCCTGAAGCTAACATCCATCCGTCAAATCATTGCTTTCGCGTCATTGGTCCTTACACGTGGGGTTTCCAGGATGTTGAACTGATAGGATGCGTTGCAATTGCCCTGGGTTTACCAGGCTTAAACCATTAGCACCATACTTAGACTAATGACGTGTGTAGTAAAAGTAGGCGCTCTTGTCCTAAAGATTTTGTAGATTAACTAGAATAACGTTTGGAGGGTAAGTAACCTATCGCGCCTACAAAGGGGAAATTCGCGGCAGCTTCTGCCAAGCTATTCGATGCCTAAGACGTTTATTGGCCCCATGACGCAGGTTTAAATCCTGGCAGCACTACCGTGCAAATTTTGCCCTTCGGCTCGACAACAGCAAGGCTAGCCATTTCCATGCTCTCTGGGGTCGTACAGGGAGCCAACTTTGTCCCTTCGAAGGCCCGGAAGAACATGGCTGTCCCGAAGCGCAGTTCCATGTATGCAAGGTGCCTTCCAATACAAGAACGGGATCCTGCACCGAATGGCGTGAAGGCAGCCTTTGCAACCGCGGACTGCGCAATTGGACCGTCTTGTAGCCAGCGAGTATGGTCGAACCTGTGCCAGCTCAACCATTAGCTCATGAGGTTTGTTTAACAGCGGAGTATATATACGTTTCCGGGTTAACAAAGATTCTAGGGTCTCGATGCAAAGTCCAAGCCTGTGTCGCAACCAAGGCACCGGCAGGCACAAAATGACCTCCAAGCTCTACTCCCTCCTCGGGAACAGTTCGGGGCAGTGGCGTTGGTGCAGCCCCATGTAGTCGGAGAGTCTCCTCGATGATAGCATTGAGAATCGGAACGGCCTCTAGTGACGCGTCCGTCAGTGGCTCCTCTATGTCGGCGAGTTCCTTTTCGAGGCTTTCTTGTAGATCGGATCTAGACAAAACTGCCCAGATGACATATGTTAGAGTGTTTGAGGTGGTGTCTGTACCGGCAACCATAAAAGATGCAGCTTCCACAGAGATATCGAGGTCGCTGAGACACTTTTCCTCCTCTCCGGCCTGTTCCAGCACTTTGGAAAAGAGGCTGGTGCTTCCATTACCAGAGCTCTTCTTACTGTTCTCAACGGCAACTTGTCCCTTCCTGAGAATCGCCTTGTGTGCCTTGAAGATCCGAAAACCTCCTATGACTGGTAGCCTTTTGGCAGTAGCATAAAATACGGGGAAAGACATCGCCAAGAAGACCCCAATGTTGGCAATCTTCAGCTCGTTGAACCAAGGATCCTCCTGCAGGTTGTCAGCTGCGGTACTAAGCTTCAACTAGCAGAGTGTGAATACCTTTCCGGTCTTGAGTCCATCGAAAGACACCCCGAACATCAGTCGCGAAATGGTGTCAGAGGCCATGAGAACCCACCATTTTCTAACGTCAACCTCTCCGCCTTGAATCGCTGCGTCTCGTCTCATGCCTTCAATTGCGTCCATCATCTTTTCCCGGACAATAACTTCCCAGCCGTTACGCAGTGATGTGGTGGTGAATCCCCTTGCTAATAACTTTCTTCTTCGTGAATGATCTGCTTTGTCCGTCATTGCGAATAGTCCATACGGAGGCTGCCCGGGCTCCGTTGGACCGAAGAAATGGTGGGAATCCGCCTTCATAAAGTTGCTCCCAACCTTGTGAATCTTCTTGAATGCCTCGAGGTCGGAGACAAATATTTGGTTAGGAGATACCCTAACGAAAGGGCCATACTTTTCATGAAGTCGGTGGTAGTATTGGGCCTGGCGATACGAAAGCGTGGCGATTGTACCAGGAAGGCCAGTGAATTTCGCGTACCATGGACCGGGAAACTTGTTAAGGGGAGAGAAAAAGACGGTAATCAGTCTGCTCAGCACATAGATTGTGACTGATGTAAGGAGTATAGTTACGAGGTTCGGACCCATTGTGAAAGTGTTGTAGATGCTGAGCTTTGATGACCACTCGTTTACTCATCTCAATGTTGCCGGCAACTAGTGTAATTATAAGTCCTCATGGCCTCTCGGAACGGCAAGTTATCCAACTGCGTCTCGCAATTCTCGAGAGTCCGAAAAGTGCGCTTACTATATCTCGAATCGACCTGCGCCACTGTGGACTACGCGATGGTCTTGCAACTCCACCCTTCTTCCGCCATTTCCGCAATTGCTCCGCCCACTGGTTTTGGTTCCCAACTGAAGCCCTTGCAATTGCATAGCAAGGTATTTTTAGTCCTAGCAAGCTATTGATGCTCTTAACACGACTATGAAAGGAGGCGTGAAGAGAACCAGGGTAGGCGGAGGTGAGATCAACTCTTTGAACACGCCATCAAGCCTGTGGTCAAAACTTTCCAGGTATTAGCGGTTAACGCCGAGCCTTAGAAGGGGAAACCACCCAAGGTAAAGGCGGGTACAAAGCGATCACGAAGAAGTACGACAAGTACACGCTTCGGTCGTCCCTGACGGAGGTGGCGGGGTGGAGTGACGATGCAGTGGAGCTCTACGATTTAGGAAACGCCCATGTTATCTTTGAGAACGGCTTCATCGAATCACTCAATGACGCATCCCTGTCGAGCAACCAAGTCGGTGCGGCGGCCAAGATGAAGCAGTTGTGAGGCGGCATGAATCTTGTGCCCAAGACATTCCATCTCCCCGGAGAGGAGCGAAGAGCCGCTGATAGACACAATGTCATTTCCGGAGCTCGCGCATTCCGCATCGACGACTTGACAGACCAAGTCGGAGTTAAATTTGCCAAGGCCCAGGTTGCCTATGAGACCCCAGCTGCGGAGAAGCGAGATGTTGTAAGCGACTACGTCATCCTCGCGATTCCAAGTCGTGGCATTTTAAGCCGAAGCAGAAGGAGGCCATACGCGAAGTCCGCTATGTCGAGGTCACCAAGGTGCTGGTGCAGGACAAAAAACGATGGTGGAATGAGGTCTTTGAGAGCAAAAAACAGGGCTTGGATGGGGGCTTGGTCACCGACCTGCCCATCCGGCACGCCATGCTTTTAGTGAGAATGGGAAACTCTCAGTTCGAACACAGCAGCTGCTGTCCGGTGATGGCCGCGTATACGTTCCAGCAAGACGCAATAATTCTGGGGCCACGTCTCCCGCTCGGCGGATCAGGGTGGCGGCCGAGAACCTTCACTCCATCCTCCCTGAAGCCAGTTCGCTCGACTACCTAGTGAAATGATGTGTGACACCGATAGAGATCGAGTGTTTTTTTCGCTGGAGAGCAAGCCAGCTACTCACATGGCTGGATCCAGGGCGCGCTAGAGGCTGGTTTGAGATGTGTCCAGCAGCTTTGCAAGGCTGCAGCGGAAGAAAACTTCTACTGAGAGGTTTTCTGCCTGGCAGATAGATTGAGAATAATAACACAAATGGTATTTATCAGAAGCAACAAAAATGCAGTCATTGATGGGTAGATATCGATACGGGCTCCTCGCCCAGAGCCATAGTCATAGATAGTGAGAAAATTTGCATCACCTTCTCCAATATCAAAGGCACCAGAGTGTGTAAGGTGGCGCAGAGTATCCGGTTGAATATGTATGATTCCCTGGCATGCTATGATCATTGAAGAGTTCAAGACTCGGCATGAAACGAAAGCCGCGGCCTCAGTGAAGTATTGCGGCCTAATGTCTCGTGACCTTCCTTTCTTTTACTGGAAAGGATGTAAAGAAAGAGAAGGCGCGGTCGGACAAGGTGGGCAAGTGCAAAAGGAGGCGCCTTCCTCGTTCTCCTCACAGGCTGCAACAAATGTGCCTGCACATCCCCGCATTTCGGCCTCTTGTTAGGGCTTGACGCGTTTGCTGTTGGACCTTCCTCCTTCACCTCCAGAGCACCCTCGCCGATATCTCCCTTCTCCATCTTCCATCCACAAACAAAAACACGCTCTTCTGTTATGTGGCTTGAGTAGTGCGAATTTTCCTCTATCTATTTGCCAACAGGCATAGTCACCCGAGTCGCCCATCTTCTCTTGGCTTTTGCTGCTTTCTTTCGTACCTCATCACGTTCTTTCACTTCGTTGAGGACTCGAGTTGCTACAGCAAGCCTCAGCCGCACCTCTTGCCCTCTCGCCTCCTTCTCACAGTCTCATTCACCAATTTGGCATCCTCAATATGACCTTCACCTGCGGAACGTGCTGGCGGGAGTTTCCGGCGGGCTGGCACTCGCGTTGGCAACACCTCAACGCGACCGGCCATCAGATCCCTCTTAACGAGTGCGAGTCTTGCGATCGTTATTTCTGCAACCGCCATGCAGTCGAGCAACACATGGACGCCCTCAGTCACTGGGCCAGTGACGTCGACACTGATGACCCTGGGTACGAGTGTGACGACTGCTCGGACTGCTTCTCCGATGAGGAGGATCTCCGCGACCATGAGGTCCAGGATCACCACTACTGTGACCCGTGCGACCGTTACTTCAAAAACTACAACAGCATTCGCCAGGTAAATCTCGACTGACGCTTAAGAATAAGCCTCATATCACTAACTGTTGTGCTGCAGCATCTGAACTCTCGGGCCCATCGCGGTAGCAGCGCCCTTCAGTGCCCCTTCTGCAACCAGCCGCGCAACACGGCCACCGGTCTCATCCATCACCTCGAGCGGGGCGGCTGTCCCAGCGCACCTCTTGATCGCGACAAGCTCTATGAAGCCATCCGAAAACGCGATCCCAAAGGCATCATATCAAAGAATCTTTTGGAGTGGCACAGCTCTCCGACTTACAATGCTACGGAGCGAGCCTACAATACGGCCGCCGAAGCCTACGAGTGCTATCTCTGTCACCGACTCTTCAGCGCGCTACACAGCCTGGACTCCCACTTGAACTCGTCGGTACACAAGCAGACCCTCTATCACTGCCCCAACCGTAGTTGTGGCCGTGATTACAAAACCCTTGCAGGAGTTATCAATCATTTGGAAAGCGAATCTTGCAATTTCATGCGTTTTGACTCTCTTCAGCGCAACATCGAGAGAATCGTCGATTCGCGCCGTATGATATCCTTCTGATGGATACACGTAATTCTCAAAGACAAGTGCAGCGAGGGAACAGGTTTCTTTGATGAGGCAGTTGGTTGATTTGTATCATTTTGTGGCAGGCTCCTTCATGTGTGGGACCAAGTAAAGACGAAAGAAGGTGCGAACATGGTCCTTAACTGACAAGACTTGAGGGTTACCTACCTAGTGACTTATTATATTTCACTGCTTTTAGCCTCTCCAGGAACACAATCCAGAAAATAAAAGGAAGTCTTTGTACATCCTGAGCGTCTCGTTACTAGAAGCCATACCTGGTCCGAAGAAACCTTTTGCAGCTCCAGCGTGTGCCCCCCGCATCCACTGACTTAACCCGTTTCCCTATCGGCCAATGAAGCCGGCGCGGATGCAAGCGAGATCGAGCGAACTGTATTGCGGTGCAGTTGTATCATTCCAGGAATGCGGACGGACACTCTCCGAAATCCGGGTCAAATTGTGGCGGAGCCCGGGTGCGGAGGTCTCGGAGCTATCTACGATTGGTGCCATATTAGGAAGTCGCCAGGAATTGGCGTCGCCATTCCAAGACACGCCTCACTTGTCCCGCACCATCGTGCCGCTCTCAATCGGTAACGAGCCGACAGAGGTCATCAAGATGACACATAACCTAGAAGGGGACTGTGACGTTATAAGGTCTCTACAGTCCTTCACACCGAACTGTCTTCCTACAAATTCATTTGGTGCATCTTCCAGGATATTTTCCACATTCATACGCAGTTTCGTCTTCTAGAAGTACCTGATTGTTTCCTTTATTCTTTTACCCAGGCTGGCGCGATCTGTGCAGTTGCTTCTACATCAGACCCTTCTGAAATCAAAAGAAAGGGGGGGGCAGACGACGGGAACTTCATGTGAAGTTTGCGAATCCCACGTACCCAGGCTGGCATAAACCGGTGCCATTATGGGGCTTGAACGTGAAGTTGTCGCAGACCTTGACTCTGATGCGCCTGTTGCCACGCACCCGACGCTCAACACTGTCGACTTTGGCCTACAGATCGGTGTCGAGGAGATACTCACTGATGTTGACCCGGACATTTCGCTCGAGTTCTTGAAAAAGGCTGAGGCTCATGCGGGCAAGCCGCCGCCTACGCGCGTGCCACGGAAGACGCTTGTGAGCACACACAACAGCTATGTAGAGCAGCAACAAAACGCTGGACAGCAGAACGCCCCGCGAATGGTGAAGAAGGTTGTCTTGGCACTCTCTTATCCGCCGTCAGTAAAGTCAGTCTCGGATCTATCGCCTGTAAGCCTTACTTCCATACTCATAGCACCTTCGAACCATGCTGATGCGCTTCAGATGCGACTGGACGAGCTTCTAGTTGAAAACCACCATGAGGACAAGTGCGTTATCCTCAGAACAATTACACCACCGTACAAAGGGGCCGGCACCATTACGATTGTTGAAGATGAGTTCGGCAACACCGACAAGTTGGCACTGTACAATCAGGGGAACTCGACCATCTTACAGGCTGTTCCGGAAGGCTCTGTAATTCTTCTCAAAGAGCCGTATTACCGATTCAGCGGAGATGACGACTTCATGCTTTGCGTCGATCACCCCTCAGATGCAGTGCTGCTGCGACACGGTCCTGATGATTCGCTTATCCCAGATAGCTTCAAGCAAGCCCCTAGATCTCACGCCGCCTCAGAATGGAGAGATGCGGGAGACCAGGCGTTCATATCAAAGGATTTGCCACTAGCAGCAGCCAAGTAAGCACCGACAGCCCCCGCCGCTCAAATTCAACAGCATGAGACTTACGTTGTGACATCAGCTACAGCAGGGCCTTGGAGTTTACACCGGAAGGTAACAAGGCCTTCCAAGCCGACTTACTATTGAAGCTTGCCGGCATTGAACTCGCCCTCAATTGTTTTGACAGCGCACTCTCGGATGCTCTCGCATCAAGGGGCGGACCTAGCGACTGGAAAGCTTACTTCATTGCCGCCAAAGCCTCGTATGAGCTTACAGAGTTCCAGGTCAGCAAGGAATACTTCGAGTCAGCACTAAAGATGAAACCTGAAGCGACCAACATTCTAAAGGAATACGAGCGCTGCTTGGCTAGACTCAGAGAAGAAAAAGGCAATTACGATTTCGCTGCTATGACGCTCGACGTGACCCCCAAGAACATACACATTGACAAAGCAAGCTTCCTCTCGAGAACCGAAGTCAGAGACTCGCCTCACCACGGCCGTGGTATTTTTGCAACGGAGGACATCAAGGCTGGCGAGATGATCTTCGCCGAAAAGGCAACCAGCGTGCCCAACGAGTTCAACCCGGAACACAACTCCGCTGCCGCCTACGCTCAACTTGTCGAGCTATGTAAAGACAACCCGACGATCCATAGAAAGGTCCTTGACCTCTACGGAGGGACGTATAAGCGATCTGGCCAAGAGGGAACCATTGTCGATGGCAAACCTGTTGTCGACGTCTTTCTGCTCGAGTCCATCCGCCGCAAGAACTGCTTCAGTGGCGCCCATGTCTCAGCACAAGCCGCCAACCCGGATTGGGACATGTGGAAACAGGGTATGTCGCGCGGGCTATGGGTGTACTCTGCCTACGCCAACCACGCGTGTCTGCCCAACGCAAACAGATCCTTCATCGGAGACATGCTCATCGTCACGGCCACCGTGGACATTCCCGCCGGCACGGAGATTACGCACATTTACCTTCCGCCCAAGGCTGCATATCTCCTCCGCATGCCGCAGTTCCGACACAGCTGGGGATTCATGTGTAGCTGCACGCTCTGCGAGGGCGAGGGGAAGTCTCCCCCGAGCAGCACAAGAAGCGTAATGAGGCACTGGCTGATATCGAGGCCATCATCCGGAAGAAGCGGCCGACGCGCTTCTATCCCGACGCGGCAATCCGACAGATCGAGAAGCTAACGAACAGGTTATCGGCGCTGCACGAACCCGAGGTCTATGAGGATCTCAAGTTGCCGCGGCTGATGCTTATATGGCCGACCATGTGGCTCGTTGAAGCCTGGCACACGCGGAAGCAGTGGAACAAAGTCGTCAAGTGGGGAAACGAGGTCTTCCGCAACTTTGGCTTCGTTGAGCCCTTCAGGAATGGGAGGCTGTGGATGTACAAGGATACGCAGGCGGTCACGACTTTCGAGGTCATCAAGGCGCTGAAGCTCTCTGCCGAGGCGTACACCGCGCTCGGGAGCAAGGTGTTGGCTCGGGACTGTCTGGATGCCGCTAGGATTGGGCTAACGACCATGGTTGGGTTTGTTACTGACGAGACATTTGAGGCTTTCCGATGATGTCCTTTCAGTTTCTGGGACTTTCTCTCCGTTAGATACATCGAAAGACGACATGACATCTCTTCCAATTAAAGCACTAAACCCACCAAAAAAGGAGCGTTCCTGTTTGGGGAGTCGACCGCCGGCCGAAACCACTGTGCTGTCGTTTGTCCAAACCATTGTTTATATTCCGGGTTTCCCGGCGGGCCAGTGATTGCTGCTCTCCCATTGACGATTTACCAAGGTTTTCCTGCGTTATTTGTGTGATTTGTGGAAGAGGGATATCAAGCTCTTGGCAAGCAGCGCTCGCCTTGGCATCTCGTCTATTGAGCATGAATCAAGGCTTAGCGTTATCGCGGCGAAGTGACCCCTTCTTGGCAATCGAAGAAGTGTACCATTCAATAAATGAGGGTTTTCGAGTTCTCTCATGCTGTCCTCCTGTTGGTGTCGTATAACATTGGCAATCTAGCAGCCAAAACATGAAGGTCAGCAGTCAGCCGAGTCGTATCTTCGGCTCGATTCTCAACCCGGGATGGTCAGTGAGATCCCCCAAGACTCCATACAATCTCTCAACCCAGCAGTTCGTTTACTTAATCGTTACGTCGAGGGAGTATGTCATTGCAGATGTATTGTGCACTAGACCAATGCTGGGATTGATTCGTTGCGCGATAATGAGGATCCAATCCCCGCGCGTCCTAGCACCGAGTCTGGTTCAAGGCCTCTACACCAAGTTGAACGCAAGAAAACAATCCCACAAGCAACCCATTCCAACTTGGTAACTGCTCGCGTGCTTATCGATGGCTTGTGAGGGAAAATCTCAGTAATGGGCGGGGTACGCAGCAGCGAAGCTGCAGGCCAAGAGAAATCCTGCCCATGGATGCCTGTCATCCCCCACTCCATGACAGGTCGGCCACTGGCGCTTCGGACGACGCCGATCCCATCGTCGTGATAAGTTTGTTCTTGATCAGGGTGAGCTGGGGTTTTTGAGGGGTTCGACCCCGGGATCATGGGAATATGCGTACGCGGCAGATAATTACTTGTACCTTCTAAGTCTAGTTAGCCGAAGAGCTGAAGGACCAACGGTTAAAATCATGAACTTGACCGCTCTGTGGTATCTTGGCTTTCATATAAGATCAGAGTCATGTCACATTTTGGCAGACGAAATCGTCATCGATCATAACGTCGACCCAAGTTCATCTGATCTTGGCTTCTTTTCCTCGCGTGGACCACTCAATCACTCCACCGTCACATCCCACAATGGCCGCCCTCGCCTTGCTCCTCTTGGCGTCTGCGCCCGCAGCCCTAGCCCAGACATTTCAGAGACTCGGCGCGTGCCCTGACCTGGGCTGCGTCTTCCCCCCTGACCAGGCCCATTTCCTACCGGGCCAGAACTTTGACATCCGCGTCGAAATCCACGCTCCCGTCAACGGCACTGAGGCCTTCAACGATGGTGTCCCGGACCCGGAGTTTTCCATCTCTATCGCAAGCAACAGCTACCCTGATGGAAAGCCCGTGACAGAGTTCTTTGGGATTGAGGAGCCGGGGCTTGAGACGTGGACGTTCTCGTGGTACGAGGACCTGTTTGCCCAAGACGCCAGGAACCAATCCGTCGTCAACGTCGTGTCCAAAGCATATCGTCATTTGGCGCTTTATGAGCCAGGAAACTACACTGTGGAGCTGAGCTACTATAACGGTACCAAGAAGACGTTGGCGGAATGGTTTGTGCGGCCGCTCGCCGAGGAGAAGAAGGCGAAGAATGTTATCCTCTTCATCGGCGACGGAATGACGACGAACATGATCACGGCGGCACGCCTTTTGGGTCACAAAAGCATCAATGGAAAGTACCAGTCGCGAATGCAGATGGATCAGTTTCCCATCTTGGGACACCAGATGGTAAGTTGAGCGGGTTGCGTTTCTGGTTGATGTAGTCAAGGGTACTGACTTGGCGATAGACGCATTCCGTAGACAGCTTCATCACAGACAGCGCCAACTCGGCCTCGGCCCTTTACTCCGGACACAAGGGCACTTCAGACTCCATGGGGTATGCTAGAAATCTTGTGGATATTAACAACAATGCTAATTAAGTGCTAGCGTTTACTCCGATTCATCAGCTGATGATTTCGACGATCCCAAGGTTGAGACGATCGTGGAAATGGTGGTTCGGGTCTGGGTGAGCGCGTATACCGAGCGGCCACATTGTCTCTTGCTGACATTTTCATAGGGATCCGCTTGGGGAGCCGTTACCACAGCCGCTCTCGACGACGCTACACCGGCTGCGTTGACTGGCCACAGCAGATCCAGATCTAACGCCGGGTCGCTCGTCGACCAGGCACTCAACGGAATGACCAACTACTCCTGGAGCAGCCACCCTGGGCCTGATGTCTACTTTGGCGGCGGCGCTTCAACTTTCCTCCCAGGCCCATCCTCGTACCAGGGCAAGGACTACTACGAAGAGTTTCGTAAGCAGGGCTACTCCGTGAGCTGGAACGCCACGTCCCTTCGCGACGCCCCGATCGACTCTCCTGCCCTGGGCGTTTTCTCTACTTCCCACTTACCTGTTTGGCTCGACCGGATGATTTTCACGGAGAACATTGCTGAGCTCGGAACGCATCCCTCTGGTGATGGATCTGCACCGCTGGACCTGCCGGGTCTGAAGGATATGACCCTCAAGGCCGTCGATATCCTCCTCGAGCGCAGTAATGATGCAGGTTTCTTCCTCATGTCCGAGGGGGCCTCGATCGACAAGCAGATGCACGCGCTGGACTACGACCGAGCCCTTGGGGACCGTCTCGAGTTTGACGACACTATCCGCGCGACCATCAAGAAGCTCAAGGATGCTGGTGAGCTTGAGGACACGCTCATAGTCGTGACCGCAGACCACGGCCATGGCTTTGACGTCTTCGGCGTAGCCGACACCAAGTACCTCGCCGCCCAGGACACGGACCGCAAGAAGCGCGACGCCATCGGCATCTACGAGCGCTCCGGCCTCTCGCAGTACACCGTCACACGCCCGGACGGCATCGAGTACGGTACTGGCCCGAACTTCCCACTAAACTGGAGCCCTCGGTATGCCATCGCGCCCGGCTTCGGTGCAAACCCCGACCGCAGGGAGAACTACCGCCTGCACGAGTCGCCTCGTCGGGTGGTGGTGAACGACGAAGAGGACGGGTACATTGCGAACCCAGAGGACGGAGAGGATGGGTTCTATGTCCCAGGGACGATTCCCATTTCCTCTTCGTCTGGCGTGCATTCTCTGACGGACGTCCCAGTCTTTGCCATGGGCCCGTGTCAAGAAACGTTTGCAGGTGTGTACGACAACACGGATGTCTTTTTCAAGATTGCCTCATGTCTCGGGCTCGGCCAGTCTTCCGCGATTCCTCGGAGAAAGTAATGTCAGAGGGAAAGAGGCTTCTATGGGGCTCCAAATGGGGGGTTAGTCTTGATGATATCAAACTAAATCAGCTTCTCGGTTGCGGTTGTACAGAATCACTTTGCAGCAATCCACATTTTCGGTTCCGAATTGCCGTCTTTGCGCATCTTTGGCAACCCAGACCTCTTCCATGTCTTCTTGGACCCGCCTAAGTGATGGGAGGTGACGGTGTTGATACATCGTTTTGAGTCTCTCGAGAACCAGTTGTCGCAGGTGGGGGTCGACAGATTCGCAACCAGACGTCCATAAAGGCCACGCGTGTGCTGACACATAGGATGATGTGACAGGAACCTTCAAGAGATGACGGATGCACTGTTCCGCGTGGAATGGTTTTGGTGGCGGCGTACCGTCGCTCCACACCCGATAGAGATAAACAATGGCCGCATGCTTGTAGGCTTGAATGGTGTGTTCGATAGCCGGGTCCCCATCGGCCGCGATGGTGAGCTCTTGCAAGTCGTTTCTAATCGAAAACCCTCTCCTCTGATGTGCCTCGCCGCTCTGCCCTTGCATCTTACTGATGGTGCTCACAACCGACACAAGAGACGTGAGCTTCGCGAGGTTTTGCAGTCCTTCGAGAGGGGCCACGTTGGTCATGCTCAGGAGAGGTTTTGACGTGCGCGAGATGGAAGACATGACGTCGTGGTAGAAGCAAAGGCTCATGAGGAACTGCGCGCTGGAGCTGGTCCAGTTCTTCGGTCCTCCCGAGTGCATGATGACAGCCTTTGCACCGGCGAGGTGATCGATCTGGCTATCGGTATTGAACAGCCGATCGGAGATTTGAAGCATTAGGATTGTCGCTAGCGAGAGCTCGGGGTTCTCGGTTTCGATTGACTCGCGCAAGGAAGACACGGCCACCAACATGTGTCGTGACGACAAAGTGAGCAGATTTTCATCGTTCCGGAGGACGGCTAGGTGGCCCGCCGCCATCGAAGAGATGGAAAAGAGGAGGGCGGTGGAGCGGAGCATCATGGGAGTGAGGTGCGTAAGGAACGGATTATGCGTCCCGGAAGCCATCGATATTACACTCGCTAATGAGTTGCTCCAGTGATGAAGGAGGAAGCGATTCATGGGAGAGACATCTGGTGACAGGTAGGATGGATTCCTGATGAGACTGCTCTGGCTAGGGTCGGTGGCCGTCGTCGGGGAGCTTGGCTTTGTGGTCGGTCGTTTAGGTGATGACGACGAACTCGTCCGAGGCTTCGACCCTGATCTGGATCTCAGGCTTCTCTTTTTCATGATCCTTCCTCCGTCCGTCGAGGAGTCGGCAGTCTTCCATCTCACTCTCAGACCATACCCCTTGCACGTCTTACCCAGCCGGGTGCAGCGGCCGCAATGAGGTTTGACCTCATCGCACTTGTAGCCCTCATCACTATGATGAATATCAGTACTAGCGTATCATCAGGGTTGTAAGGTCACTCACCGACATGTGAGACAGCCAGTTCTACTCCTCGTGTGCGGCATCTTCGAGTAAAGGAATGGCAAAATGAGTTGAGGCGAACAAATGATTTCTCAGCGATGTGGGGTAAAAATCCGTTTTGGGTTCGGTGTTTCGTTTTAGCTCCGATTTGGCGATGTATGTTCTTGGCATACACTAACAATTCACTTTCACCTCTCTCAAGGTCATCATACGTCATGGGAAGTGAAGGCCATGCGAATGGAGCAAAGTGAGCCGTTACACATCCAGCTTAATGTTATTTTGAGACTTAGTTATTTCAATGATCAATTCACTGACTAATCTAGCAACAGTCGATGGTCGTCGACGCACAATACACGACATCACTGCCCTTCACTATTTACATTAATGCTGATAAGCTCAACAAGGCTTAACTTAATCAGACTCCCTACGATCTTTCCGCCATCCCAGATCTTCACAGTTTCCAGCCCTGCGATCATCTCAAAAAATTTATGTCAATCGCCTTTGGTGCGCTCCGCGAAACAAAAAAGCATAAACACAACATTTCCAGAACGCAAGTCACCGGTGTGCACCCTGTGTCCGAGGACTTCCGCGAATTCATGAAATTTCCGCCTTCTTGTGCTAGGGAGTCAACATCATCGCCGTAGCATCAAATTCCGTACGGTATGATGTGCCCGATAAATTTGGTTCGGCACTAATCACTTGGACAGAATGCGACAACATAGTTATCAGACATTTTCTCTGAGCCTGAAACGGTTGTTGCCATCGAAGATTGAAAACTTCATGAACAATGAGGAATGTGTGTCCGGGGTTTGGCTGTGGCAGAGCAGGATGACTTCCTAAACTGTGAAATCTATCGACTGTGCGTGTTTGCCTACAAACCAACAGCCAATGTTGTCAATTGCTGTCCGGTGCGTTATCCGGAACTAGTGTTTTGCTGAACTTGGCGGAGTAGGTTATGTTGGCACTACCTCTTGATATCAGACATCTGGGCAAGCGAACGGTCAGCCACACTTAGAACCGATCCTTGGGATATCAACTTGAGTTCAAGAGATACCAACAGCAAGCGGGCTTCACTGCTGGCACGCAAGCCCGGGACGCATCGAAGTTTGTTGCCCCCCCCCCCCCCGGCGCATAAACATGCAAGCCAAAGAACGCCACACATAGCGCCATGAAGTATTTTTGTTGTGTTTTAAGCAAACTTTCCTTTCACCTTCCTCTTTTCGCAACAATTGCTACTAGTATACCATTGGCACAAACAGCACAGCCAGCCACGCCAAGAAGAACGCTCTGTAGGTTTCGATTGACATCAATCACACGATTTGAATGATATCTTCGGCCTCCTGGAGGAATTCCGGCTGGTCATAGGCGCACTCTCGCAAGGCGATGAAGGCCGATACAGATCTTTGCTCAAGAGCTGGTACCATGGTCCAAGCTGTCGAAGCGTCAATAGAGACGTCAAGATAGACAACATTGGAGTAATGTTGGGGGTTGCGTCGATACTATCATCTGTCTGAAAATCAAGCATAACATCTGACGTGTTGAACCACCAGACAGGCGGTCTAACCAGTACTTGACTTGGTGCTTGTTCAGGGTTGTGGAACATTAGAGAAAAATGTCGGCCAGCCACAGCAGGTCAGCGAAGGTAAGGCACTGGGTGCTCTGCCAACTTCATTGAATATACAAATTTTGCGGAAATACTTCCACAGCCTACGTGAGCAACAACGCCGTCACGCATATCAACTTGAAAGTTCCTAAGAGACATTTCCCTCCGCGATAAGGCCTTCGCGGCAGCTGACGAAAAATTGCCTTCGGGCTGCCGACTGCTCTCAGTGGTATTGTTGAGGGCGAGCAAAAAACCGTCACAAGCAACGTATGTTCAGCATCCTCGAGAAAGGAACTTCACGCTAGCGTGGCCTGGGCTATGCATTAAATCGGTCTTTCAGAGCAGTTGAGGGGTGGAGATGCTTGCGCAGTGGGGGGATTAGGCTCGATTCAGTTTATTGATCACTTGGTCGATTCTTTGTCTGAAATGCGTTGCATGTTCTTGTTGGCGTTTGCTTGCTTAAGTGTTATTGGCAGTGAGATCCTTTTGCTTAGACAGATTGGGCCAGATCGAAGTACACGTGCGGCGCAGAATAATGGGGGGAGAAAACATAAAATGAAGAAAGGAAGATCGACGGCCAGGGGGGGCCTGGAATATAATTACTCACCACCATCTCCCCCTATCATTGATCCACCATTCAAGATGAAGAGCCAGGTTCCATCTCCAGACCCTAGTAAGATAACAAGGGAAGCCAGCTATCGGCAGGGGGTAGAGGGTAAAGTGTAAGCGGACCTGTGGCACTATTGATGCAGATAAAATTCCATGTTTGCTTCCGGATGCGTGGTAACATCTGGGCGAACACGAGAAAAGACAATGTCTTCCGGTAGCCGAGTTTTGAGAAGTGGGCACAGATAACAAACTTAAAATTCTCTATTTGAAGCATCAACAGCAGCTTTCATGGTTTATGCCTCTTCATCGATTTATGTTGCAAGCGCGCAAATGACGGTGCACCTACCTATAATTTGACATGCCCAACCCGCCTAAAGGCTCAGACGCTTGGAAAGCCCAAGACAAAGGCCCGGCTATCATCTCAATCTGCTGGGCTTTCACTGCTCTCAGTAGCTTGTTCGTTCTGGGTAGAGTCTATGTGAGGTGGAAGATCATCGGAAAGCTCTACAGCGATGACTACTTTATCATACTTGGGCTGGTGTGTTGTGTAACCCCATTCTGCCCGCACGTTACCGCGAGTAGTACTGATAACTTTCTTTTTATCCAGGTTTGCGGCTACATATCGACGTCACTCTCCACACTTGCGGTCGCCTCTGGTACTGGCAGACATTTAGACGTGCTCACCTTGGAGCAACAGCAGAGCAACATGCTCTGGACGACAGCTGCCCAATGCCCAGGCATCATGTCGTTTGGCCTACCCAAGCTTGCAGTAGTCTCTCTTCTGTCGCGATTGCTAAACCCGGGCGTCTTCCACAAATGGTTTCTGTGGTGGATGGGAATCTGGTGTCAGATGACACTGTTCGTCACTGTTGGGCTTCTGATAGGGCGTTGTACTCCTGCGAGGTCATTGTGGGATTTTTCCGTCAAGGGCACTTGCTTCGATCCGAATATTCTGATCAACTTTTCCATCTACGCCGGGGGTTAGTTTCTTGGAGAATTTTTGCGCAATCTAGAGACTGACTCGAGACGCAGCTTTCTCGGCGTTCGTAGACGTCTACCTGGCCGTATACCCAGCCATTGTGCTGTTCCGTCTTCAAATGCGCCTCAAGAAAAAGTTGGCATTATCTTGCGCGCTTGGTATAGGCACAATGTATGTTGACTTCGCCAGCTCCAAACGAAGATTGCCTTGTCGGCTAATCATGTTGCAGCTCAGGCATTGTTGCCATTTACAAAACGACTCGTTTGCCGTTGCTGGCAAATGAGGATTACTCGTGTAAGTCTCAGGGCTGTTTCTTATCTTCGATGATCTTCGATGCTAACGTTAAAACCTGCGTCGCCATAGACGAAACGCCTGATTTGGTCGTTTGGACAGTGTAAGTAGAACTTCGTGTTGGCTCGTCTGGTTCGAAGGGCTCGAGCCAGTGCATCAACCAGATTGTTCTAACAGAGGGGTACAGTGTCGAAGGCAGCACCATTATCATTGCGAGTTCAATCCCTGTATTAAATCCACTTTTCGAGCTCATTTTGAAACGAAGCCCCTTCACCTCGGCCAGAGGAGGCTCCAGACCGACAACCAAGTCCTATGTAGGTTCAATATCATCGCCGAGCCGGCCTTGGCCATCTCAAGGAAGCTATGCTTATGAACTGGGTCAACGGAAACCAAGAAAAAAGCTCAAGGACTACCCAGGGGTTTTAGTCATCAGGCTGCTGCGCTAAAAACCCCTTACTCACGTAAGGGGCGAAAAAAGGGGGTTGCAGCAGCAAAAGGGGGGTTGCACCTTGCATCACGAATAGCATCACTTTTGCCTGTTATACATAGAAACCTCTATTTTTTAATTTAAAAGGTTATAGTAACTACAATGTTATATAATAATAAAAGTAATATTAATTAATAGCTTTAATCTAAGGCTTTAAGAAGATACTTTTTTTATTTTTTTTATATAATAATTGAAAATTTAAACTATTACTATAATAGTACTATTACTAGTATTATTATTAACTATATATTACTATTTTTTTTTAATTTATATTAATAAGGGGGTAAGTAGATTATCTTTTATTATGCTTTTACTTTACTAAGTATTTATATTATTCTTAATTATATAGTATTATAACTTATATTATAATAATACTTATAATATTATTATTAGCGTTAATATTATTAATAGTAATAGTACTAATACTATTTTAAGGTTATTATTTTTATTCTTAGCTATATTAACTGATTCTTTATTAGATATAGCCTTATTAATATCTTTATTAATAAGATTATTTATGTCTATAAATATCTTAAAATTAAAATCTAGCTTAGTTACCTTTATAATAGTATTAGCTAAT